TGGCCGGGAATTGTGATGCCCCGGCAGCGGAAATTGTGACAAGAAGGGATATACTAGGCAAAAAGGGTTAACTGGGTCCCAATGAATGGGACAATATCGCATCGCAATCATCACTCACACTTGCATCGTCTTGCCTAACCCCATAGTGTGGGCTAGCAAACACCCTTCTTGTCTTTTGTTCTCAATAACCTCTCGGAACATAAACTGAATTCCAGAGAGCTGGTAGGATTTGACATATTGCGCGATATAGGGGTCCAGGCATATCATGGGAAGTCGGAACGAAACCGGCCTTGGAATATTTTCCTTAGAAGCATTCCCTTGGGCAAACCGAGACGCAAGCACTCTTTTAGCCTCGGCTTGTTTGTCTATCCGTTCTTGGCCTTCTTTCTGGGCCCGAGACAAAGTGATTTTGGGGTTGGCCAATTTCCGCTTGCCGTTGCGCCGAATGGATGGGTTCATTTCGTCGGGTTGGACATGAGAGGACACGTCCATCCATCTTCTGCATCTCCAGAGAAGATCGTTCAAACACCCAAAGAATTGCGCGAATCGGTCTTCATCGCTGTCCTCTCCGACCGCCATAAGCGTAGACTTGACTTCTTTTACTGTAAAGGCGCCACAGGGGACTTGGATAACGTTGACCCACGACACAAACAAGGCGGCCATTAACATTGCAGAATGGCTCTCCTCGGCATCCATTCCCTCGATCACCGATGAATTGTCAAACATGTGTTTCAGTGCATCTCGCATATGTTCTCGATATACACAGAGCATGTAAGACCTGAGATATTTAGAAAGTTGGTTGAACCGATTCTTCGGCAGACCTATGAGTGCTTTCGCTACAAGATGACGTCGGTTTCCACTTTCTTCGATAGCTGCCCACAGCATAGGCGAGACATCGTCAAAAATACTCACAGCGTCGTCAGTTTCACTGCCGTTGTCACTGCCGTGGTCACTCGTCAAGTCCACGAACCCAGTGTTGAGGCGCTTCGGGATGATAGGAAAAGTTTGTGCATCTACCTGACCCTCCGCTTTACCCTCATTCGAGGGCAAAGTTGTCATCGGTATCAGTGGTGAAGCTGGACTATATCTGTGGACGCTATCTGTCTTCAGGCGGCGCCTCTTGGCGACCGGGGGCTCGTAATTCTCTTCTTTGTAGAAAAGATGGCTGAGGTCCTCGTCTGAAGAGGAGTCACGGAACGGTCCATCTCGATAAGCTGTGCGATAACGTGGCTCTTCGTGATCCGGTGCAGCCTCGTTCTGTTCGAGATCGGAAACAAGGGCGTCTTCCGATTGCTCTGATCCGCCTTCCGATTCTGATCTATCTTCCGATTGTTCTGATGATTCATCTTCCATCTCATCACCAGTGTCGTGCACGAAATCCGACTCTGAACTGAGAGTTTCTTCCCCGTCCAAATTCACATTGGGCTTTTCTGGCCGCGGGGTGCGTGGCGGACGAGCAACTTTTGGCGGCGGGCTAGTTTGCTCCAGAACGGATAGCTTCCATTGATCCAAGAAAATATCGATCACAGTGGGATCGAGGCATGCACATGCTTGAAGTAAGGACGAGCGGGATGAATGTTGCGCCTCTGCGAGTGCTTTGCGGAGGGCTTGAGAACGTTTCTCCAGGTGGGCGAGCCGTGTCGAGATTTGACTTTTCATGCCCGGGAGCCTTTGGCCCCTGGTCCAGATTTGAAATGCTTTCGGCAGCTCTTTCGGCAACCGAATGTCGATGAACTGGCTCTTCCGTGTATCAATGTATTCATCGACGATTTTATTAAACTCAGTATCTTCCAGGTTCCCAGAAGTATCCGGAGAGGATTGCTCCTCATCCTCTTCCATTTCCTCGCGAGTCTCTGTATCATATTCGGCCTCGGAGCTAGAATCTCCAAGAAGTGGGAGGATATCCGAATCGTTTGGGGGGTAAGTCTTAGCAAGATAATCAAGAAAGTCCTTGTGCCCAAACCCGGAGTTCGGAGCAGGTTCATTGGGAGTGAGGGTGTCCGGGAGAGAAGGTGTGGGTGGGCGTTCGATGACGGTGGTCTCCATCCGGCGAGGTTTCTTTTTCGCTGTTTGGGGTAGTGAGAGACCATCAAGGACAGGAGCGGAGCTGATGAGATCATCAGAGAGGGTAAGGTCGATGTGATCATTAATAAGGGGGGTGGTATTCACGGGATCATCGAGGCCTTTTGGAGAAAGTTGTCCATTGGGGAATGCTTTAGGAGGAGGCTGCGGTTGCTCCAACTGATAAAACTTTGGCGATCGTGCCTGTAGCCATTTACTGGCTCTCAGAATATACTGGCACTGCGAGATAATTCTTATGCCAAGGTCTCTCACCTGCCATTCTGTGATATAGAGCAAAGCTGAGCCGGTGACTAGATGTTCTCGGAGGGAATTCTCGAGAGCCATAAGATCTGGGCAAGCCAGATTATAAGACCAATCCCCGGCCCTTTCATGACAAAAGAATGTAACAACCTCATCCACCGTCCAGTGGAAAGGGTCTTTGGTCAAAGTCATGTTTGCTTTAGGGGGGGCCTGTACTAGATCAGCGGGCTGCGGTCCAGACGAACCAGTGCATTTGTCCCAATGACGCGACTTGACAAGGGTCAAGTTTGGAAAGATCCATCACTTACCATTTTAAGGCCCCCAATGCAAATTAAAAATGAAGTCAGTGCAAACCGAAGGATGTAAAAGCCGACAATGAAGCATTGAGCTGATGATATGTCAAAGCGAAGTGAACGAGGAGCTTTCAAAGAAAGAGAGCCGGGTATACGATAGGGGAGAAGAGAAGAGAAGAGAAGAAAGAAAGAAAACAAAACAAAGCGAAGGAATATCAATCAAAAGAAAACACGCCACCCTCTTTCTTCCCAATCTCTGTTACGCGCGAAGCTCTTTTTTTGTGCCGGTGTTTGAATAGGCGGTGAGACATTTTAAGGGCAATTATTCCGAAAAAGGAAGGCGGGGCACTCGGGCGGTCGAGTCTAGATTTCTGCCTCAGGTGTCGGCCAAATGCCCCGCCAATTACAAATCCCCAAGAACCTTGGGGGAGCCTCGGCGAGGTTGGAATCTTTGAACAATCTACGCAACTTGAGAAGGTCGTGGAGTGCCGGAGTAAATCAATTCCTATTCACTAGCAATATGGCAGAATCAATTTATTCAAACTATCCGCCAGATCTGTCTCCAGCTCAACAAAAGTTTCTTGTCACATCTGTGAAAGACTGGGCTATTCAAAATGGTCTCGCTGTTCGACCATCCCCAGCAATTGTCCCAGCTGGCCTAGATCCAAATGGGGTGCTGGCTACAAATGCACCGGTGACATTGTTTCCCAGTCCGTTTCCTCGGACTTGCTTCGAGGAAGCCACTGCTCTCCAAGAGATCTACAACAAACTTTATGCTACGATCACATGCAATGAAGAATGGCTGGGAAAGATTGTGGAAGAGTAAGGATATTTCTGCTCTAGTATGGTAGATGTTCATTATTGACCATTTTCAGGCTCATTGAAGTTGATGACTTTGTTTTGAACTTGTGGAAGGTTCATCAGGATGTGAAGAAGGAAGGATATGTTCAAGACCTGTCACTGGGCCTCTTCCGGTCCGATTACATGGCCCATGTTCTGCCTACAGGTGCCACGGCTCTAAAGCAGGTTGAATTTAACACGATCTCGTCATCGTTTGGAGGGCTTTCAGCTCTTGTGCGAAAAATGCACACCGAGCTTCTTTCCTCGCCGCCGGGTTCCTCAATCAACTATCCACCCCACCCTCTGCTACAATCCGAGGTTCCACCGGAGAACACCGCAGTGGAAACCCTCTCAGCAGGTTTGGCGGCAGCCCACGAGGCCTACGGGGTGTCCAAGTCCACCCCGGCCCTACCTCTTTGTGTTCTCTTTATAGTCCAGGAGTCAGAGCGGAACGTTTTTGATCAGCATGCACTCTCAACACAGCTCAAGAAAGTTCACAACATCCCAGTCTTCCGTGTGGCTAGCGTCGATATCTTGGATCAGACATCCATTCCCAGCTCCAACTCCGCACGACCATTGTTATACCAGCCTCCTCACTCACCCGACTCAACCTTCGAGGTAACAACTGTTTATCTTCGAGGTTACTATGCACCAGACGAGTACAAATCCAACCGTGACTGGCTGGCCCGAACTCACCTGGAGCGCTCGGCGGCGATCAAGTGCCCTTCCGTGCTCAATCAGCTGTCTGGCTGCAAGAAAGTTCAGCAGGTCTTAGCAGAGCCGAAAGGGCCAGATCATCTCGCAAGCTTCTTGAAGGGGGTTGACACTACGCTCATTGAAAGAGTTCGAGATACCTTTGCTCCGCAATATGACCTGTCAGTTGACAGCCAGGGCCGCGATCTAGCCCTCAACCCAGATACCGCCATGAACCATGTGCTCAAACCACAGCGTGAAGGGGGTGGCAACAATATCTACAAATCCGATATTCCAACCTTTTTGCGATCTATTCCGGAATCTGATTGGAGAGGCTGGGTACTTATGGAACTCATCAACCCTGCAGCCAATGCCCAAAATGTTGCTCTACGGAATGACGGCGAGGTCCTTCGAGGACATGTCATCTCTGAGCTTGGTATTTATGGTACCATTCTTTGGGAAAGTACTGGGAAGATTTTGCACAATCAACAAGGCGGGTATCTGTTGAGGACCAAGGGGAAGGAGGTGAATGAGGGTGGCGTAGCCGCAGGATTCTCCAGCTTGGACAGTGCTATTTTGTTCTAGATAACTTAGACTAGATCTGACATTTACAATATCAACGGTTCATTCATACTTCAGCTTTCTGGCATTTCGTGTAAGATAATATCTACGACAGCATGAGTCTCATAACGTCATTCTGGAGCAGATGCACAGCTTCTAAATCGCGTAGAAGGGAGAAAAAGTATATATGGAGGGCTAAATGCCGAGACAACTCTATGCAAAGATGGGTAAACCCACACAAAGCAATATGAGAGATTCTTCTTTGGCCATATTTCCCTGCAGCAATCAATTCTACAATTTCGACCGACAGGCCTCAAGACCAGATGGTCCATCGTAGATCTGTTTCTCTACCAGTCGAGTGTTTATCTGGACAACATATTGGTTAGTTCACGTGTAGATCAAGACCCCAAACTGAGAAGCCGGGGTACGTACGTGCTGTTTCCCGAGTTCATTAACATTCTGCACGCCGAGAAGTCGCATACATGTCTTGGTCTCCTCAGTCAAGACTAAGATCTGTCAGTAAGTCACTCTACAAAAAAAAACGCCGAGTTTCGCTGATCATACTTTCCAGTGTTCTTCTGACGCCGTCCGGCCCCCCGGCCGCCAAACCCCAAAGCGGAGCTCTTCCTAGCCCAACACCATGAGCACCCAAACAAAGAGCCTTGACCACATCAGTTCCTCTCCGGATCCCGCCATCGACCCACACTTCGATCTTGTCGAAGACCTCGGGGCAGTATTTCCGGATTTCGAGTAGGGTGTGGACAGCAGGAGGAGCCGTGTCAAGAGACCGACCACCGTGGTTTGAAAGGATAATTCCTTTGACCTGGGGCGTATGTTGCGTGGCAATATACGCGTCTTCGTGTGTCTGAATGCCCTTGAGAACAACCGGAAGATCAGTGTGCTTTGCCAACCAGCCGAGGGTCTCTCTCCATGTAAGCGAAGGGTCCATTCCCTTGAATACGGGGTCTCCAGACTGGGTGGGTGGCGCGCCCTCATTGTTGTCACCCTGGAATGGAGCCTCGGAAGCGATGACGTTTCCGCTGCGCTCGTCGTCCTCTCTTTTCCCAGTCACGGGGGAATCCAGTGTCAGGGTCACGAATTTGATTGCACTCAACTTGTTGATTCGAGCCAGCATACGTTCGCTCTTGGTTCGGTCGTTCTGCACATACAGTTGCCAGCCAAAGACTTGGCCCGGGGCGGCGCCTGCGACGATCTGCTCGGGCGTCATCGACGCGCTGTTGGAAATGATCTGCATTGCACCGAAGCTGCGACATGCTTCTGCGATTCCTGCTTCACCAGTGGGGTGCCCTAGGCGGGCCATAGCCGCTGGGGAAACATAAATTGGGAGAGACACGGGATTTCCTAGCAATTTTGTCTTCAAGTCGCATTGTGTACAGTCGATGAAGACCTTTGGCCGCAATTGGATGGAGCGGTAGACTTCGTTGTTTTTGCGCTTGCTGATCTTGTCGTCGGATGCCGAATAATAATAGGCCCATGCCTTTTTATTCACTATTTTCGTGGCGGCATCTTCGATCTCATCCAGATTGAGCAACGTTTCGAGCGCCTTTCGTTCCATTTTCCCTATGCCGTCTGATCCCACAAAGTAGGAAAAGGGAAAAGCCGAGGCGGGAAAAACAGGGGTGCATACGCGCCGGATACTTTTTCCTTTCTGGGATTAGTGCCGTCGCCAACGGAGAATTAATATGCGAAGGAACGACATGCGAGGGATGGGAAGTACTACAAAGTACTATCAAGTAAGAAATATGGAACAATATACAATACAACCGTGGGCTATAGGTCTTTTGAACAAGTAGAATCAATAAACCACCGATTTTAGCTCTAGGTAACCTTCTGGCCGAGACACCGGAACACTTGGCATTTGTTATGACGATGAATAGTACCCCTGTTTCAAATTTTAACTTTGTATTCTTTTTCGTTGGTATCATTTTGTATGTTTTTCTATAGTATGCATTGTCTACTGTCTACGCCTGTCTACAGGCTTGACGTACAATTAAGCGCTTGAATGCATACTCCATAATCTGCAGCACGAGCCCTAAGCCCACTCATGATCTGGACGATTCGCGACCAAATCCCCTCTTATTCCCCATGAAATCTGCTTAGACCAATAGAAACACAATACAAAATTCTCCTGGAGGGCTAAAATTAAACATGCGGACGTGTCCGTCGACTCCACCATAGTCTAGATTCCCGTTGAAACGCTGCTGTCAAGCGAATAGGTTGCCCGTGTTTCATTTTGACTTCCCCTTCTTTTTTCTTCCTTTTCTTCGTGTTGAGGCTTCTAGAAGACCTTCTCTTCCCATATTCGACATTCGTTTATGTATTTCCTTTCTTCTAATATTTGTTGAGATCATTACTGTCTTTCCTTGCTTCTAGTCAAATCCATTGAAATCAGAACTGCCCAGTTCCGACTTCATCCACCTTCGTTTTTTTTTTTTTTTTTTTTTTATAATTATATTTTTTTTTTTTTTTTTCGTTTTTTCCCTTTCTTTCTGGTTTTCTTCATTTCACCATGGCCGAAGGCCACAGTGCCCCTGCAGCTGAGGCGCCGGCGCCAGCAGCAGCAGTAGCAGCAGACTGTACTGCTGCACCAGTCGCCGCAGATATGCGCTCACACGCCCATCATCAAACGGCACCGATCCATGAGCAGGAGCAGGTCTCCTTTGGACCCTTGACTCATCGGCCAACATTCTTGGAACACCTGGCTACCTCGCGAGACATGCAATTCAAGCTTGATCGACGGGACACAAGCGAGTTGGACCGGTACTTTGTAAGTCATGGCTGCGAGATGATCTATATAAAACACGAACAGAAGACTAGGAAGGATCATAGACAGGCAGGCTAACATACTCTTGACCTAGCATGGCCCCCGAAACATGGAAAAGCATTCCAAGTGGCCGATAATGTTGCGATTGCACGGCAGTGTCATGCCAAAAATGATCATGCCGCTTGTAACTATCGCTCTCTGGTCGACCGCTGTTACTGTCTTTTCGAAGCTGGTCCATGACCGTGAGTAATCCCCAAGTGATAGATCAAAGAACATTCTGAGTTATATACTGACGCGAACAAGTCGGTATCAACAACATCCTGCTCACCGTGCTAGGTTTCGTGGTAGGTTTGGCGTTGTCATTCCGCAGCTCAACTGCATATGAGAGGTATACTATTCCCTGGTTTTTAGCTTCAACTCGAGCTATACACTAACCGCTTGCACTGCAGATGGGCAGACGGGCGCAAATATTGGGCCCAGCTCATTCAAACGTCTCGCAACCTCTCGCGTACAATTTGGATCAATACCGGCGAGAGAGAAGGCGAAGCAGGAAAAGATGACATCTTGAGAAAACTGTACGTGATACCTCTGGAGTTTATCCTGGTATCGATTCTAACAAGCTGTCTATAGCTCCGCGATGAACCTCATTCTGGCCTTCGCCGTCTCCCTTAAACACAAGCTCCGCTTCGAACCCGATATCGCATACGAGGATCTGGCTGGCCTGGTTGGACACCTTGATACCTTTGCCCGTGATGCCCACGACCGCATGGTTGTCAACCCTCCGCCTAAATCCACTTGGAAGTCCGCAGGAGAGTACCTTGGTATGTCCTTCGCCGAGTCAAACCCTCGCAAGTATGTCAAACGGTCGAAGAAGCCTCTCGGACATTTGCCCCTGGAGATCCTCAACCATTTGTCCGCGTATATGGATTCATGTGTAGTCAACGGTACTCTGGTTTCGACTCTGCACCAAGGACAAGCTAGTAAGTGTCTAACCCCCTATCTTGTGTGCTCCAACTCTAACCGAACAAAAGTCGCCATGGTGGCCACCTTGAATGAGATCTTGACCGGCACAGAACGTGTACTGGACACCCCCTTGCCCACCGCATACAGCATTGCCATTGCCCAGATCTCATGGATCTACATCCTGGTACTTCCATTCCAGCTCTACAATGCCTTAGAATGGATGACCATTCCAGCATCGATTGGTAAGAACAACAGAATCCTCCCCCCTACACAAGTCCAAAAGAAATTCTAACAGACCCCGAAGTGGCTGCCTATATCATCCTCGGCTTAGCCACGATCGGCAGCGAAATCGAGAACCCCTTCGGTCAGGATGTGAACGATCTCCCGCTGGACACCTACTGCCGACAGATCGCCCTGGAAATGGATATCATGACTGCTGTGCCCCGACCAAATGTCGACGACTTCATGTCGCGTGCTGAAAACCTCGTTCTATTCCCTCTTAGCCAGTTAGGATACCCTGAATGGAAAGAGCGGAGCGTCGACGATATTCGCAGCGCACTTAGAGCTAAGATGGTCGCCAGCCCGTCGTCTTCGTCGTCTGCTGCATCTACAATTTCGGAAAGCATTCGTCCCAAGACTACTGGGTCATCAGTCTGATCTTCATCTTCCTTGAAAATCTGTCACCAACAACCAGGGGGAAATACAACCGGTAATCTTCCTGGCAGGGTGAGAATTAATTGTGCATTTTAATAAGCGGCATCAAATTGTTTGTGATAATTGACAAACGCGTGGGTCATGGCGTTTTCATTTGAGTCATGTTGACTCCAAAAATCAACCACAAAAAAAAAGGGAGTTCATTCTTGTCTTGCAGTTGCAGTTGGTTGCGTACATAGATTGACATTGTCTCCAAAATTTATTTCCTTTGTCCTCATCGCACGCGAACTTTCCAAAGTGCTAGTATGTATGTCTTCAGCCGCCGATGTAGGCCAATTGTCTGTGTCTCATTCCTTCCCATGGAGCTAGACACAAGCTTAGTCTCAGGTATTCGATTATTGCCCGGCTCGCGGTAGGGAACCAAGCCAATCTCGATCCATTTGGAGCTGGCATTGCCGTCGCATATATCGTGGGCGGTTACTGCAGCAGCCCTGCAGCCACACCCATGCCTAGTCCCACGTAGTATGCACAACATCAGGCGTGAATTGCGAGTAAATTCGGATGGGCCTCGCCATAGCCCGAGGGCAATACTTTGACAAAGAGTCAAAATATATAGACTAGTCATAGTTCAAAATCGGTTCTCGTACTCGCTTTGAAGCAAGAGTACAGCCAGCAAGTCTAGGGAACGAATAAATCGGCCCCAGAGCCAGCAACCAGAGCACCTAGGAAGTTTCCCTTGGCGCAAACTCTCCACGCAACATCTCCAGAGCTTGCCGAATTATTTCCGCCGCCAATCCATGAGCTCACGGCGCTCACGACGGCTGAGGCATCCTCGCGAGGGACGCGAATCCACATAATATGGTACTTCGTGGTTGATGGAGATCCGTCCTCGATCTTTAGGATGTCGATCGGAATGGCTGTTCCTGTCAGGCCGAGGAATTGCGACAATGCGGAGGAGAGGTAGGTTCGTGCGGAGAGGGCATCGAGGGGTTGCGGTGCACTTCCTGGTTGGGAGACACTAAAATTGCAATGTTAGCTTTATTTCTGGCAGACCAAAAAAGCCGACGGATAGCTTACAGCTTGAGCTTGAGGTATGTCCAGGGTGGATTGCGCGACGTGAAATGGATAATTTTTGGCTTTGGCTCTGGCGCTTTGCGCTTCGCAGCTTCCGTTACAGCGACATTTGTGTCAATTTCCATGTCGCCGTGTGTATCCTCTGTCATACTGGCTAGCTTTTTGATCTGTTCGGGGTGGTCGGAGGTTGATGTTCGCCCGGAGCTCCGCCAAAAAAAAAAAAATCACAGTGACGGCGTCACGGGATCAAACAAGAATCGAATAGAGACAAAAATATGAGCTAGCAAGTGGGAATCAACAGGCTTTAAATTCGAAATTTATACTAGGAGTCTCGCGTATTGACAGCGTCCTTTAATATTTGTGTCGCACGCTGCAAGTAGGCTTCTTCGCCGTCGTCTCCGATCTCCAAATCGGCAACACACAACGTTTTCTCTCTTGATTTCGCGCCACGAATAATTCCGACATTCGACTTTGGAACGTTAAATATCTAACAAATGGTCAGATGGAAATTGTGACTGACTTTATTCCCTAGACAAGACGGGAAGCAAGGAGACACATTAATAGCCCACCTCTGCGAAGACACGCGACACTGCCATATTAGATGCCCCGTCGCGTGGAACAGCAGCCACGGCAATATCGACTCTATCAATGCCAACATTTGTAATACCTGCGCGACGAGCAGAGGCGTTTGGCTTCACATAGCAAGGGATGTGGAGGTTGAACAGTTTCCGAGAACACGGGGTTTTGCTAGGGACGAGGCGGAGGAAAGAAGCCGGGCTGGACATTTTCAGTCGCGGTCAAGCGAATTCTACATATAATTGTGGATGTGGAATGAAGAGGTTCGAGTAGAATTGATTGCAGTAAAATAAAGGAGATGGATGAAGTGGCCAAGACAGTCATCGTTTAGCCCTAAATGGGCGAGCCGCCCTACACGGTCGAGCCCAAACTAGTGCTATCACGCTTTATCCTTAGCATACAGTCAAGAAAAAGTTGAAACTCATAATTTTAAACAAGGCCCAGCTTGCGTATTCGGCTCCCACGGATTCCGGAGCTCAACAACAAGCCAAGCACGGCCATCATAACATCTAGAACGATAGATAGCCACCTCTGGATGGTGAATAACTTTGGCAATATTGCCAAGTCTAACTATTACGACTACAATCACCAATGTAGCTTCTAAGTAGCATCTCCACGAGGATCTTCTCTAGCCTAAGTGTTCCGCTCGTAGCTTTAGGGAACCTCTTCGGTGCTCAACTAGCTTGGATCGAAGACCGGTATATATTATCGGTCTCGATAGTCGGCAGATAGGTTAATATATATGAATATTACTACGACAAGAAAGGTCCGGGAAACAACATTGATTTATATAATACAGGATATAATGATAAGTTAATAACGAGTCTTCATGCATCGGCTGCTTCATGGATTGAGACACCTTGGAAGAATGTCTCCAGGCGAGGAGTCACTGGCTCAGCTTTCCGCTCTCTGCAAGACCTCGCGTGTAGCTCCAGAGAAATCTTCATTCAGTATATAAAGAAGTACTTGCTAACTCACCTTGCTCGTTTGGTTGATACGGTAGAAGTTGAAGGTCACGCTATCCGTAGAGATCCCGTAGACTGTTATATCTGTCTTCACCCGCTCGATACAGCCGGACCTCGGGGGGATAAGGGCCACCGTTAGTATAAATGGGAAATGTTATTTAAGTAAAGGCACCGGCTGGGAGGATAACGAGTGGCGAGGGAGGATCCTGCCCCGGTCCGACATAGAGTATCTCGTCGACGATGCGACTGCGATGCCGCGATATGCGTCCCTCGGGTGAGTAGTGATCTCCCCACAAACGCCGCTCTGAATAGAGAACACCAGCTTCTACCGGAACCCAAAACATATATATAGGAACGGCGATCGATGGAGGTTGCCGTCTCGACATGAGTCTCGTCACACCCCTACTTGCCACCTAGGATAGAGACTTCTCCTAGGCACTCGCTTTTCCCGGATCCGCATCATCTTCCAATTCCTTATTCAGGTAACGCAGAATTGGTTGCGGGACTGATTAGTTGGTAGCAACTCCCACAGGCAGGTTCGACTTCTTCTTCGGACATTCGTATGTCATATGTCCCTTTTCCTTGTACCTCGGAGGCTATCTTGGCCCACGTCCCTAAATAGCAAGCCCCCATTCAAAACTAGCAGGCCGATATTCGGCGGTAAGGTATTCAAAGCGGCAAGCAGCCCGGCTTTCGACAAATATTGTTTCGCTGCGTGCTGAGGGCTAAGCGTTACAGCACCGGCTTGGGCTTGACCGTGTCCAATCAAGGCGATTGTGGTTTCACAGCTTCTTATTCATTTCTTCCACGGTTTCGACCCGAGTCCATCCGCTTTTGCCAGCTAACAGCGCTGGCCCCAAAATATCACGTCGTCGAATCCTTAGCCATTAATTGTTTCAAGTAGCAGGGCGGGAGACGATGGAAACACCGAGAACCACGGTTTGAGCATATGCGCTTGGGAATTGACACCGTGATCGGGTGAACGTATAATGGAAGCGTTTGGTCTCCTTGATATTGGCAGCGTCGAATCATACAATGAAACTCGAATATATAATTAAGCGCAAAGGATTGTGGATGTTGCATGGGATGGGGTAATTTAAATAGAGGTCGAGAAGGAAAGAGGGAGATGAACAAGATGAAATACCGACTTAGGCTCAGCCTTGAAGTAGTTAGTAATGAGATCTAAGCGATGGTATATAGTATAAAAATGTGTAGAGTAAGGTGTAGATGAAAGACAGATGAGAGATAGATGAGTATGATGTGATATATAGAAGAGTGACAACAAACCTATGAGTTAGCTTCGGCTCAGGCTGAAAGAAGTCAGGAATAGGATCTGGGCGATGAAGATATACAACATGAAGGTCAGGTCACATGACTCCATTTCTTGTTCCTACCACAAACCTTTAGTTCCTTCCTTTTTCACGTAACTAAAGTCATCTATCTTCATAGACCACCTCGGGCAGATCACCATTACACGATGGGACCGAAGAGGCGTGGAGTTCCCTTCCCAGCCTAGAATATGGAAAAAAGCACGAAAAATATGGCACCAAACTTTGAAAGGATTTCGAAAGTGTTCAAGGAAGCATCCAAATCCACATTCCCTTTTAAGACATTCATTTTCGACCCAGATCGCAGACTAAGACCAATTTTGTGGTCACCAAAGGAAGGTCTACAGCGGCATCATCTGCTTAGTACGACAATTTAAGACCTGTCATTCACAAATGATCCATATCGCGGTCTCCGAAAGGAGCCAGATGCTCTTCTCCACAATCTATCGCAGCCTTTTCCAGCTCTTATCGCAGAGGTTGGATGCAGTGAGTCGTATAATGACCTTTTTGATGACATGAATCGGTTACTCATTAGGCTAGAAGTCTCCAATTCGCTTCATGCCTCAGTTGAAATTGCCTCAGGGCTTAATATCACCAACGAGGCGCTTGAAGTGCAGTGCCGTGCAGCGGCGCAAATCAAATTGTCATTCTTGTTAAGTGGATGACGGCATATTTTTTCTGTATGTCTTCTTTAGAATCTTCTTTGGCATCTTCCTTAGCATATTCTTGGTGAAAAGCACTCTTCAAGCACAACAGGAGAAGCATATCCATCCAATTTTCCGGATGATAGACCCAGTAGCCAAGAAAGATGCCAATAAAGCCGGCCAGCATAAAAGACAAAAAGAGAACCCAAGATCTTGGTTATGTTATAGGAGACTTCATTAGGGACCAGTGTAGGACAGGGTAATTTAAAGAGAAGATGAGAAGTAGACAGGGAGATGGAGAAAAGAAACAAGATGAAATATGTCGACCACTAACTATGTACCGAAGAGATGAAGCCGTCACCCGACTCCGTTAGCGCCCACACCTCTATTGCAGAAGAGACTCAAGATCTGCAACACGAGTACCTCTATCCTCGGCCTTCTTTTTCGTCTCTCGGAAAGCAGCCTGCATTAGACTCCTCTTACGCTCCTGGATCGCCAACACCCGCTCCTCAATACTATCTTCCATGACCAGTCTCCAGACTGTCGTCTCCCGCTTCTGCCCAAGCCGATACACCCGATCGACGGCTTGATCCTCGATAGCAGGCGCCCACCAACTGTCACACAAGATGACCTGGTTTGCTGCAACGAGGTTGAGACCAACACTGCACACGCTCAGACTTGCGAGGAGGACAGTACACTCGGGGTCGTTGGAGAATGAGTTAATGGAGTTGTCGCGTTTCACAGACTGCATCTTGCCATCTACGCGGGCGAACTTGATCCCGCGCTGCTTAAGGTGTGGCTCGATGAGATTTAGGAATGATGTCCATTGGCTGAAGACTACGGTCTTTGTTCCTGGTGCCTGGCCCTGAGCAGTCAGGATCTTGACTAGGGTCTCAATCTTGCTGCTTGGACTGTCGGGGTCGGCCTCAACGATGTCAGTGTCTTCACCCAGTTCCGCAGCTGGGGAGACGAGTGTGTTGGTTTCCTTGATATCTGCGCGGCAGAGCGGACACTTGTGTTGGCGTTCGATAACCTGCTCGATGCAGCCCCGGCAATAGGCGTGGGCGCAGGCGGTTATGACGGGTTGCTCTAGGTTGTCGAGGCAGATGGCACACAGTTCTTGGCTTTCTATCTGGAGCTGCAGCATCTCTTGTAGAGCACGGACGTTCTCGGGTGTCAGAGGCACGACTTTGTGTTCCTCCAACATGCCCATGAGTTTGTCGATGCGGTTTTTGCAGAGCGCCCAGTGATTGCAGACTTGACGAAGTCGGAGAAGAACCTCGAGAAGATGAGAGTATTTAGTCTTGCCATCTTTGTCCTTGAAGTCGAGAAGAGCACCCTGGGCCTCGGTTCTATGATTGTTATTAGCAAATTTGTTTTCACTGTGGGTAGTCACTCGATACATACTGGAAAGCATGGTACTTTTCCTGTTCATGAGCATTGAACTTGATTCTAATGAGACGAGACGTCATCTCGGGTAGCTTCAAATTGATAAAGCTCATATCCTTCCTACGTCGTAAGCAGATGGTGCCCATGAGAGCCTCAAGCAGCAGTCGAGCCTCGGGCTCTCCTGCAGTTAAGGGTCGAATCAAGACACTGTTGAAGATCCCCAAATCTTCCAATCCACCGGAAAACTTAAGGAAACGTATTTGCGCATACAAATCCTTCAGAGTGTTGATAATGGGGGTTCCGGTCAGGGTCCAGCGGGAGTCGGCACGTAAGCCACAAGCCGCAAGGGAGGCTTTGGAACTGGGATTGCGGATGGTATGGCCTTCGTCAAGTACGACACGACGCCAGTGCACCGAAAAGATGCCCTTAGCTGGCGTCTTATTTGCTTTCGGGTTGAAGTCCAGGGCCAGGGCTCCATAGCTAGTGATTACAACATCATACTTGGCCAAGTTTTCAGCTTCCTTCTTCCCAGAGCCGTGATAGATCAAGACACTCGGGGCGGTCTCCTTATGGGCGTGGTCTTGGATCTGATTTCTCCAGTTGCTCATAACACCGACAGGGGCAATGATCAAAGTGGTCTTAGAGGAGCCTGCAGTGAGAGGCTTTGCATTTGAAAGAATCAATGAGATGATCTGGATTGTCTTGCCCAAGCCCATGTCATCAGCAAGAATACCACCACTGGCGAGGGCTGGCTCCGTGGCTGTGGCATAATTTGTTGCGATATTGAGAAAGTCATTATTTTTCCGCTTCCACAATTGCACGATATCATCAGAGCCCCTTGCGGGAAGGCTTGGCGATTCTTGCTTGATCATCCAAGCTAGTCCTTGGCGCTGATATGGAAGCAACTGGGTGGAAAGGCCGGCTGGAGTATCGACCATCGGCAAATTAACCAGGTCAGACTCCTTCTGTCCGAAAGTTTCCACAACCTGGCCAATATCTCGGGGATTGAAGGTGGAGCTCTGGTTAAGGAGTTCCTCCAAGCTTTCACTTTGCTCGCCACCAAGTCCCGTTGGAATCGAGAGGTTCGCATACTCTGGGTTCTGGTTGGCTTGCCATTTTGCAGCTTTGCCAAGAGCCATGGCGCGAGCTTTCTTTGCGGCCTCCTTCTGCTGTTTCTCGGCTGCTTTCTCTGCCTTGCGCTCCTCGTGCTCCAACTCGTTCATTTGGCGCACAGGAAGCTTGTCCTTCTGCATTCGTTGCTTCAGATTAGTTCGTCTGGTAGGCTCGCAAGTTCCGAACAGTTTCAAATCAACAGGGCATGTATAATCCCCAATCGCACCAGTCAGCGTGCCTTCAATAATGAGATCACGAGCATCCTTTGATGACGAACGTTAGCAAAATATCGGAAGCAATATGATTGGAGATTCTTACCATATATGACGCCAACTTAGCTGCCATCTGTCGTGGAATGTGGCCGATTTGGGCGCCCATGACATTAGTAACCTTAATAGCATTGCTATCGTATTGATTATTAGAATCCCGAATTATGATGACCCGTTCACCTGGGCTGGCACGACCCCTGTAAAAGCGTACACCAACGATCTTTGTGGAAACGATACCTATTGGGTGCTGTTTAGTATGGTTTCTAGATCATCCGTACACGAGGGACCGAGATTATGTGGAAAGGAGCATACCATAGAGGATTGAGCTTGTTAAAGAGGTTTCATCCACTTCCTGGGACCCTTGAAGCACATCGAGCGCTTCCTCATCCTCTTCATCGGCGCCAACTACTTGCGACAACTGATTCAATGGAATGAAGTCGGCCGACTCGCCAAATCTCTGGCCCGAACTAGTATCCTGGTCCAACGGAATGTAGTCGACAGTCTCGCCGAATCGTTGGCCTGGGCTGGCTTTTTCGGTGTTCAAAGTCGGGGCTGTGCGGATGATTTTTGGCGCACGACCAGCGTCTCCGGTAGAACCGGGGGCCTTGCGTTTTACTACCATTTCCCCCCGGCTTCACCCAACAAAGTTGATATAAACTTTGGCAATGATGATGATGTGGAGATTGTGGACTCTCGGAGAAGTGCAAATATGTCCGGGGCCCTGCCCTCTCAAAAAAATCCTCTCGATATGACAAATTCAAAAAGCAAAAGACCGCGCAAATAATTGATAAAGAAATTGTTGCCTTCAGAGCTTGTCATATAGAGCGCTAACTATTTGTGACGCGTCGAGACACGGCTTCACGTGACCGGGGAGAAAACGGATAAGTCACGTGGCATCGACGCTGATAACTCGCCGCCCGCTGAGTGGACGATCGGTTGACACCCCGGGGGCGAGACCCACGGGGGGTCTTCACAAGATAGTTGATTAGTCGATGTATGAGGTACGATAACAAGCTGATTATCGCGGGCAATTTATCGAAAATATTCGTGTCCTGAGCTCTCTCAATGCATCATCTCGTCCAGAGTACTGTTTCAATCGTCTGGATATAGCCTGGATATAGCCCGGATATAGCTCTTTGTCGTGCGGAGAACAGGCCGACGGGGTATATCCCGTTCCCCGGATTTTATTCGTTCCAAGGCTGTCGGGGAGTTCCCACCAGTGTCTTGACAGCCCTCTTCCTACCTCTTTGCAAATTATGTCCGTTTCGCAGCTCAAAGTGATGCCGTCCTATCAGCCATTCCAATGTCTCATCTGTCAAAGTCGATTTACTCGACACGAGAACCTCAAGCGACATGCAACGCTACACTCCCGTTCTCAGGCCGAGGCGTCGCTTCCCTGCGACTTCTGCCACGCTACCTTCTCCCGTCCCGACTTGCGCAATCGCCACATGAAGAGAAAACATCCAGAGCACGAGCAGCACCGAGTGACGAAAAGGACACAGCGTCAACCAGCACCCAGACAAGACAGGCTGAATTCTTCTGTATCGCCGACAGCAATCTCGCCTGCAGGAAGCCAGGGTGGCTTGCCTTCTCCTGGATCTGTGCATTCCAGTCCAGGAGAGGAGACGAGGTTTGATAGCGATGCAATCTGGCATCCAGTGATGCGGTATCAGCAGCAGTTCGACAGTGGCCACCCCGCGCAAAACCCAAATATTCCTGCGCCGGGGACCGGGATAGCCAAGACGCAACCGACAAGAGGCCTGTTACAACAATCGACGACGAGTGACTCTATCCTCATCGATCAGATTGTCCAGGACGCTACAGATCTGGAGCGGAGCTTACTATTAGGGACATCCTTCCTGAAACCCACCACTCACCTTGACAACCAACTACATCCGATGGCCACCGCACAAACCGAGCCACTCAATACAAGTCTAGTTGAATACAATTTCGACCACCCGATTTTAGATAGATTATCGCCAAATGACATCCCTCAACTCCAAGACGATTGGGCCCCGAGTCCCTTACAAATTTCACGAGGCTGCAACTTATTTTTCGCCTCGGTCTCTCATTTCCTCCCCTTTCTCCATTCCTCGACTTTCGATCCGACACAAGTTCCTCCTCATTTGGTCCTCAGTATGCTCTGCCTCGCCTATCAATACGGCGAGGACCCGGAATGCGGGGATCAAGAAGGCTCAGGCGAAAGCTTTTCTATACGTTGCTTTCATAAAGCTCGAGCTGTCCTTGCTTCTGACGAAGAGAGGCCGGACGCTTCGACGATGATCACCACACTGGTTCAATCATACCTGCTCCTTGAAATCTGTGCCATGATGTACCTTTGTGGCGACAATTCGGCGTGCGGCCTCAAGATGCATTCGCACATAATCTCCCTGGCTCGTGCTGGACGAATGACACAACCAATGACTGTTGAGTCTGGTGCGACCGCAGATTTGGAGTCATTATGGCGGGAGTTTGCCAAAGCCGAGTCGCACAAACGAACCCTTTTCGCGGTGCATCAGATCGACGCACTCTGGTACCAATTCCTTTCCATTCCCCGCTCAATCTCACACCTGGAAATCAAGCATGATATGCCTTGTCCAGAAGACCAATGGTCATCATCCTCTGCTGCTGAATGGGCCCATCGGCAGCTCGTTGCAAGAAATGGCGGCCCCTCGGTGACATACACCGATACTGTTCGACGCTTCCTTTCCTCTGGTGATGAGATCGCCTCCCTTCCATCATTTGATCCGTACGGCGCCATTAACATCGCGCAATTTCTGATATCCAGCGCCCGGGAAATCTCAGGCTGGTCCACAATGACGGGAATGCTGAGCATGGAGCGATTCGGCGCATTAAGATCATCCCTCGTCGCACTTAGCCCGTTTATCTGTCCCGGTAACCACTCGGCACAAACAAAGAACGTGACTCCATCTGCAACTTGGGAGACTGCCATGGTCGAGCTGCAGATGTGGTCACCATCCCACACTGGTGGCATTGTGGAAGGAAGCATAGATGCCGTTCTCAGTCAGTCAACATATTTGGGACCGTCTCAGTTTCTGTGCGATGCCAACACGGCCAAAGCTATACAACCACATGTCAACTGGTTCTTACGATATCTCGACGAGACGCTCATGTTGGACTCTGAAGCGCCATGGGTTACTCTGTCTGCGTACAAAGCCTTTCTGATTGCCTGGCAGCTAATACATGGTGGCCTGCCTGGCGCAATGGAAGTTGTGGGCATCCGTGATGGTGATATGGAGGGAGCTCTGATGTGGGCGAGAAAGGTCTTTCAACGAAGACGGAAATGGCAGATTGGGAAACTCATCTTGTCTTGTTTGGATGAATTAGAGAAATGAATTACGGTCTTATAATGCTTTAATTATTTACGAATGTGTCTTGTGTTATTATTTTGCAGGTTTGAACAATTCAATCATTCCCAAGTATAATCCACTGTTATTTTCATTTCCCTAAGCTAGAATATCCCATAACCATGTGACAATAAACCCATACCGATCCCAGCAAACACGATTAACATAATAACAAAACAACATAATCATTGATCAGTACATTTCGTAACGCCAGCCGAGCTGTACCATTTCCTCTGTGACGCCACCCTTGACGACCTTGGCTATTTCCACTGGATCTCCCGAGTCCAGACGTTTGTTCTCGCGCAGAATGAGCCAGCGGTATATCGTGATTGTGATAGCGAACAAGACAGCAGCACCCATAAGCGTGCCAAAGGCAACGTAGAAATGAGGCTCTCCAAAGTATAGGTATGAGGCCCAGATGTTGGACGTACCACCGATGGCATTGACCAAGGCAGAGGCAGCCGCTCGCTTTGAGATCGGTCGTGCAAGGTGCAGGTTGATGGTCTTGTAGAGGAGAAGTTGGGGACCGACGGAGGCGAATGGCAGTATCATCATGGAGAAGTAGCGGGCGCCGACGTTCGTAGTCGCCATCGGGATGATGTACATCGGGATCGAGATGGCGATGCACATGAGGATGATGGGGTAGACGAGGTTCTTTCGGTCGGACCAGAACATGAGGCCGTAGTAGACGATGCCGGCGAGGATATAGGGGGGTGCGGTGAGGAGCAAACTGATGGTGCTGGAGAAGTTGAGCGAGCTCACGAGGGTGGGGAAGTAGTTGGCGATGGAGCCTTGTGTTTGGGACAGCATGTTGCACATGATGAGCAGCAACAGCTTGGGGTCTGCAAGGGCTTTCATAAATCCTTTCAGCACGCTCTCGTTCTCTGTGCCCTCTGCAGCACCGGCTTCGGACTCGAGACGCCACACGGCGCAGTCACGCTCAAGCGGGGAGAGGATACGGCTGTTGTGGGGGAATTCTGGCATGATGCAGGCACAGATGATGCCGATGCCGACGGTGGCACAGCCCTCGATGATGAATAGCCATCTCCAGCCGCGGATGCCGTGGTGTCCATCAAGTTGGAGGATGGCGGCAGCGAAAAGACCACCGAAGGCATTACCGACTTGCTGGGCAATGTAGAGCCCGGCAATACGCTTTCCTAGCTCCTTCTTTGTGTACCAGGCAGAGAGGTAATAGATGGCTCCGGGGAAGAAGACGGCTTCGACGGCTCCGAGGATGGCTCGAACAGCAAGGAGTTGACCATATGAGTGGACTGCCGCTGTGCAAGCCGAGATCGCACCCCAGATCGCCACGGCACCACAGATGTACATGCCTGGTCGGGAGAACTTCGTAATGATGAGGTTGCTGGGAATTTGGAAGGGCAAGTAGCCGACAAATAGAATGGAAATAGACGTGGCGAATTGCTCAGTGGTCATGTTCAGATCGTCCATGATGCCCTGAAGTTTTGCTGCACTCAAGTTCTGACGATCGATGTAGTTCAGAATGTACAGGATGCCAATGGTTGGAAGGATGAAGAAGTCAATCTTGCGGACGAGCTTCTTGTTGATGGCACTGAACTCATCGTCGCTGAGTCCGCGAAGGGACTCTGGCATACGGTTGTAGGCATCGAGTTGCCCTTCTGCTGACGAGACATTGTCTTCAGCCAGGATAGACTCTTTCTTGTCCACAGGGAAGGACATGACGACGGTAGTACTTCTGTTGCCAAGACCACAGCAGGTATAAACGATGGAGACTGTGCAGAGTGATGCAGGTTGCAGGCTATGTCCTCCAGACGATACTTGAGCTCCCCCTATATAGTTCGACGCAGTCTCTGCCCTTGTCGGCTTAGCGTAGAGTCATTACAAATATCCGATCTCGGTCAATAGATGACCAGGATACCTGTTCAAAAAATCTCGAGGCATTGATTGGTGGAGATTGGTCGAGGTTCGGTCATTCGTAGTTGATAAGTGAGACGTGTAGATAGGACTGGAGATAAGCGCACCAACGAGCGTCCAATGGTTATCTGTCCAATTGGAATCGACTACCCCGGATGGAGAGTTTGGTTGAAATCTGGGGTGCATGGAGCTAACCTTTGGGAGGAGCTCCCATATTGTCGATAAGAAGTTTTTGGGAGGTGCAGGTGGAGATTTCTTTCAAACGCAGACGAGCTTAGTGGCCATGTAGAATATATCTCTAATCATAGGGGCAACTCACATACAATATTCCAATATTTCGGGAGGGCCGCTAATTTTGACCGTTAAACAAGATAAGCCACTCCGAAGTTTTGCCACTAGTCTGCCCTAACTCCATGCAAGAGCTCCATGTTTACCATGTCGAAGCTCCGCATTTTAGCTTGATATTTCCAATCTTAGTCTAAATAAATGAGGGGCTTAAGAATACGTAAACCAATAAATGATACTTAAGCTGGCATACCATCAACATCTTGTCTTCATCTTACTCACAAACCTCCAACGGACAATACCAAACCATCACCTCTATTTCCAATATCTACTATCACAATGGCTTACGCTACTCCCCTCACTACCACGATCGATAACCCTCGCTTGAGACTTCTCAACAAGCTCAAGGCCGGCGAGTACCCGCTCATGACCTTCATGGCCATCCCCTCCATCCGCCAGGCCCAGATCGTTGCCTTGACCGGCGTCGACGGTATCATTATTGATTGTGAGCACGGTCACATTGGTGACGATGCTATGCACAACTCTGTCGCTGCCATTTCCGCCCTTGGTGTCTCTCCCGTCATCCGAATCCGTGGCCCTGCCCACGATATCCTCAAGCGTGCCCTCGATACCGGTGCCCACGGTATCATGGTTCCCCAAATCAACAATGCTGAAGAGGCCGCACAAATTGTCGCTTCCTCCAAGTTCCCTCCTCAGGGTGTTCGTGGCCAGGGTTCCGCTTTCCCCGCAATTGCCCACGGCCTCACCACTCCTGAGTACATGAAGTCCGCCAACGAGACCATCATCACCATGATTCAAATAGAGACCCGTGCCGGTGTCGAGAACGTCGATGCTATCTGCGCTGTGCCCGGTGTGGACGTTGTCTTCATTGGACCCAACGATCTTGCCCAGTCCTTGCTTGGATACACACCTGCTCGCGGTGACGAGCCTGAGTTTGTTGCTGCTATTGATAAGATTATTGCTGCTGCGCGCAAGCATGGCAAGTGGGCTGCTCGCATGGTTAACAATGGTACAGTAGCCAAGGAGGCTCGGGAGCGTTACGATACCGTCGCCATTACTGGTGACACCAAGGCGATTCAGAACTGGTACATGGCAGAGTTTGAGATTGCCCGTTCATGACGATTTTATGTTACCTTACGATAGACTTTCATATAAAAATTTTAAATAGACAATTTTGAGTTTCATTACTTCTTCCCCATGAAAGTTTAACTACGGATAACCTCCGATCTAGCTCATTACGTGTCTTGCTCGGTCATGAGAATGAGATAAAAGCCACGAATCCTTTTCAAGCCCCGAGACATATTCCCTTGCTGTCTAATCTATCTGGCCGGAAACAGAAAAAAGGAAGAAATAACAATTCATTTATTCGCATTTTACATGAAAAAAACTGCTCCACCGCCGTGATAATGAAGATTGCCCTTCGTCTTGATTGGCAACACGCTTGATTTACGAGCAGAAGCTTAAATACGAAGTAGTCACACACACTACGTAACTAATATTTCTGACTCCCGGGAGTGATCCGCACTTGATTAAGGCCATATTTAGTTAATATAGTAGTTAATAATTACATAGCATATCGTTACTCTACATAATATGGGCAACTTGATACTCAGTCCAAAAAGAATTTTATTTTTCGTCTATATTGTAGCCATTTTCATAATATCATAATTTATGCTTGCGCGATGCACTCAATCTCAATAACGGTACCGTTTCCGGGGGCAACCGCCTGAAGGCATGAGCGAGCTGGCATGGGTTGTGGGAGGAAATCGATGTATGCCTCGTTCATACCAGCGAAATCCTTCATATCGGCAAGGTAGACGTTGAATTTGACAACCTGCTCGAGGGAAGAGCCGGAAAGCTCGAGGACCTCCTTCAGGTTCTGCAGAACGGTTCTCTGTGTGAAAGCAAAAAAATTAGCCAATGCCTTGACACCCGATAATTGTTTGTGCAATTGAACTTACAGTAGCCTGCTTGATCTCTCCTGTGGCAGTTTGGCCTGCGCAGAAGACGAGTCCGGGGACTTTGACAGCAGGGCCTGGATAGCTTGGTCAGTGATGTTCTTTCTTTATTTATTCCAATAGAATGCAACATGTTTTGCGGGCAGATACTCACAGTTGTGAGGCTTGGTAGGGAACTTCTCGCTAGAGATGAGTTGACGAGACATCTTGTTGGTAGTTTGAAAGAGTATTGGAGTGTGTTGATAGTGTAGTTTCAAGAGTGTGTCAAGAAGTTTGAAATCCAGAAGTACTAGACAAGAGCTTGTTTAAATTGCTCAAGCTACCCCACACGCCTCTCTATCCGAGGCATGCTGCTAATCAAGAAGAGGGGCAATTTTCATTATCACAACGGAGGAGCAGTTATTTTTTGCTAATGATTTATTCGTTATCACTTTCCCAGCAGATATGCTGGGAGGAGTTGAGTGGGGAGTAGAGTGGAGTGGGAGGAGTGGGAGGAGTGAGAATGGGAGGAGCACAATATCTGGAGTCGGTTATTGCGGCCATGTTTGTAAAAAGGTCTCTCAGTGCGTGAATCCCCGCGCAGTAAGCAAAGCTGACTATCTGGCCGCAATCTATGCTTGTATATAAATCTAACTCCCGGCAACACCCGGTGGAGATCGTATTCCAATCCAGGACTAGCGCAAACCTTGTAGATTATGCTTAAGCGCTAACGTCCATAGATGCCCTAAGGCGGAGGAGCCCCCGTGGTTCCGTTCATGATAACGAAAGATGACAAGGCGAGCTGAAAATAGGAAAAATGTGGAGAAGTTTAGCAGGGAGCACCCAGAATGGCAATTATCATGCCCAGAATCCAGTGGCGCACTAGCGTCGATAACCCTCCTGCTCTCATCTCATCTAATCCGGATGATCATGCCAGACTCACCTCCCCGGATATCGGATGCACAGATAGGGTTTCATGTCTCTCCATTCGACTAGTATAAAGATATAGAACTCGATCAGATAATCTTCTGTATTGTCTTCAGCATCGATCACAACATCGAACAGTCTTTGAACATTCTTTGCACATCAACTACCATGGCCGTTTCTGCTCCCTTCAATCCTCCTTCGGCTGACCTGCCTGGCAAGCCTTTTGTCCCAACATGGGTGCCCCCGCCGATCACTCAGCAAAAGGAGAATTTTGCTGAGCTTAGCTCCATTGATCTTTCTTTGCTGGACTCGGATGACCCTGCTGTTGTTGATAAGCTTGTTCAGCAGGTTAAGGGCGCCATTCGTGACGATGGATTCCTTTTCCTCGAGAACTACGGAATTTCCCTAGAGCAGGTAAGTCTTGGTTCTTAGGATATTCTAATACCAACATTGCTAATAACATCTTTCAATAGCTCCACCGCCAATTCTCTCTTGCCCAGTATCTTTACCAAAACATCAGCGACGAGGACAAGGAACGTCTTCTGTTCGATCCTGAAACTGGTGTTTGGTCGGGTTACAAGCACCCTTACGGATTCAAGGTAAGAGGATCTCCCTCATGCATCAAGAAAATCCAAGCCTATACTTACTCTCCCTTTTTGTGATTAGCGCGAACGCGGACCTGAAGACGGTATCGAACAATTCAACTGGTACAAGCCCGACTGGAGCGACATCAACCGTGTGCCCAAATGTCTTCACCCCTTCATGGACGAGATCGAAGAGTTCGCCAACTACCTGACCAAGTCCGTCAACCGCCGCCTCCTGACTCTCTTCTCCCGAGTCCTCGAGTTGCCCGATGACTATCTCTGGGATAACGTTCAGTCCCACGGTTGCCCAACTGGCGAGGGCTACTTCCGCCATGCTCTTTTCCGCCCCGTCCAGAAGAAGACCGAGGAGGCATCCAAGGGCCTGCGTATGCACGGCCACACCGACTTTGGTCTGACAACATTGCTCTTCTCTGTGCCCGTCTCGTGTCTCCAGATTTGGGGCCGCGATGAAAAGTGGTACTACGTGCCCTACAAGCCCGGTGCGCTTGTCATTAACATCGGCGATACCCTGGAGATTGTCTCCGGTGGCCATTTCAAGGCTACTCGTCACCGTGTTTACAAGCCTCCTGTCGATCAATTGCAACAGGAGCGTCTCTCCCTGGTGCTCTTCAACAGTTCCGTTGGTGATTTGCGCATGGGTCCTGCCACAGGTTAGTAGATTCGCACATTGGTTAAACACAAGGACTACGCTAACGTCATATTTTATAGCTTCGCCTCTTATCCAAAGAGTGGGCTGTGTTGAGGAACAGGGTGTCTACAAGGAGTTCAAGAGCCTCACATCCCAAGGAAAGCTTGTGCCTACCAACCGTCAATGGCGCGAGATCCAGATCGCTACCGCTACTGATCCTACGGATCAAGAGCGCAACCGAGTTGGTGCTGACCAGGTTCTTATTGATGGCAAGATTATGCACCAACGGGAGTACATGGGTGTCAAGGTTGTCCTGCCTGTCTAAACCAAAATGCAGCCAATGAGTGGAAGTGTTTGTTGTTTTGATATTATTACCCCTGTTTTCCTGGATGATTTATGCCGACAGATTGTATGCAAGATTCATATTTATATATAGCGTTGGAATTTGAGAGTTGTTATAATTATACATTTCCAATGTGTAAAATTTGTAGCTCACTGCCCAAGTGTACATACAGCCACGGTGAATTAGGGACGCTAAATATCCTTAACCTATCATCAAATAATAATAATTCTTAGCTAATGTTCTTAGAATGGAAGTTCAGAAATTGAAAAACGGAATACTGTTACAGCTTCTTTCCAAATATCCCCATATTATCATTAAATAGAGACTAGAGTCCCTAAAGCACTAATCCCAATGAGGCCCTAATAGAGAGCGTAGCAGTGTAGAGGTGATATAAGTTGTGTCTTTGGCTATGACTCAATTTCTACAACTCTCCTTGGCTGAGGCAGGACAATTGTATATCATCTCACATTGTGGTTTGCTCCTGTCTTCGAAAGTAGTATTATTGAGATCTTCGACTGCCACACAAGGACTGTGTAAAAATTTTATTTTTATTCTTGATATCGTGAAAAGAGCGAGACCGCTGTTAAGTTCAGAAATATGTGAATAAAATTTGGCTCTGATTCCAAAAGCTATTTTAACCCTCCAGCTAGGAGAAGACTCTGGCCCGTCATGTACCCAGTCTTCGCTAGCATAGTAACAACATTCGCCGTTTCTTCTGGAGTTCCTAGTCGCTTAAGAGGAATACTCTCTACCACTTCAGGGTACGCTGCCGCAGAGGAAAGCATGCCTGTACCACCGATCATAGCTGGGGCGACGTCGTTGACACTAATGTTGTACTCTGCCAGTCTGGTTGAAAGATTCTTCATCATACCGGTAAGACCACCCTTGGAGGCTGCGTAGTCTAGATTGGAAAACTGAATCAGCAATTGCCTTCAAGGAACAAAAGGCCAGTGGACCAAGGGCAGTGGATTGACTTACGACAGCCGTTAATTCCTCCACCCTGAGCGGCGATGGAGGACATGAAGATGATCCGCCCCCACTTCTGGGCCTTCATGTGCTCTACCACGCCTTTGACAAGAATGAAGGCAGCGCGGAGGTTGATATTCATAGTGAAATCAAACTCCTCAAGTGAGATATCTGACACGTCGGGAATTCGCTTGCCATATCCGGCGTTCGATATAAGAATGTCTGGACGCTGGCCGTGCTCAAGATCAATTTGTTGAAACATAGCCTCGATTTGATCGCCAGACCCAACATCAACCTGGTGGATTGAAATGCGAAGGTCCTGCGTGGCATTCTTGGAGCGTATATCTGCGACAATATTGTTCATGGATGTCAAATTTGTCGAGTAGGTCAAGGCGAGATGAACTCCATGTTGTGCAAGTTGGTGTGCGCAAGCTGCACCGATTCTAGGGTCGGCCGCAAATTAGCTTCATGACCTTGTATAAGCTGTGGATGTTCCGCTTACCCTCCAGATGCGCCGGTGATTACGGCCAATTTACCTCGAATGTCGTTGAATGCCATTGCGAATATAGGAAGTGCAAGTATACTGATCCAGCTAAGAGATTAAGATGACACAGAACAAGATATTGAACATTGTGGGACCTCAATATTACCCCGGCATTGGAGATTCCCCGTTATCGAAAGCTATTCCTGACAGTAGACTGCAGGTCAAGATTGCCATGATACGGAGTATCTTCCGTGAATAAGAAAAGTGGATAGAGTGGGTTCGTCAATGAAGGGAGCTCCTCCCAAGTTGCCAACGTCAGCAGCCCTAAAGATAGATAGTGACAAGGCTATTCAAAGCAAACCTCATTATCTATCTATCGTTAATATTGAGTTCTGTCAATCTCGAGTTATGTGTTCATTCTCCAAACTTTGTTTTCGGCGAAGATAGTCAGTTGCGCTCATGGAAGGTGGTTGTAGCAAGGGGAATCGATTCCTGAGGTTTTATCGTGGCCTGAGGCATTAGAGGTCACACTTCAAGGCACGTGATGATATCTGTAAACGTCACTATCAATTAAGAGCAATGGCCTGTGAAAGGCGTGGATTCCTCAAATTCCGAATCGGTCATTTTTAGCGCATCCCCGCGTACTCCATATTATTGAGGCATTAGTGGCGCCCCCGTGTTCCACATGGCCGATCCCCGCTATGGCTCCTACAGGGATCTGGCCAAGGACTATGAGACCCGACTTGATACCCTAATAGAACAAGGGATCTTTAAGCCAGTTTTTCTATATCATGTTGTCATTCTCAACATTATACCTTTGATAGGTCTGGTCATTCCTCGCAGCAAGGGCGGACAATATGTTCGAAAGGGCCTTTTCGTCCTCTGTATTGCAATTGCAATCGAAATTTTCCAAAATCGACGGGCAATCATCGGAGGAAATGGCTACATGCTTGGTTTGATGACCGCGTGGTGGTTAGTATGGAATGCCACGTTGTTTGTGTTTACAGACCTTGAACATGATTTCAAGCGCATTGAACGGAAACCCGTCGATATCAAGTCAAATGACGCCAAGACGCTCTGCTCGAACAATCCAACATGTACACAACAGGACAGCAACCTTTTTATTTGGCGGTCATATCCCAAAAAGTTCTGGCATCGTCTGGAATGGTCCGCTGGACTGCTCTTCAACCTGAGGGGGCCAGAGTGGAACTGGCGGACTTCCCATCTGGGTCCTCTTCCACGACCAATTCACGACCAATTGCATCCAGGATTCGTGGGTAAAATAAAGGCACATGAACCCTCCACATATCCCAACGGCAAACACCGCTTGCAGGCTGCCTTTCGAAAGTTCCTCATATCTTACCTTGTGCTGGACATCTTGAAAGTCATAGTCCTGATGCCTGATCCATACTTTCAAGGCCTCGCTCCGGCTGATTCACTATCACCATTTCCTTTCTTCTACTTCACAAATTTTACATTGCATCCTGCCATATCCCAGATCTGTCGTCGTCTATACAGCGCCATAAGTGTATATACTGCACTCGAGTTCGTGACATCGCTCAATCCAATCTTCTTCCTGGGGCTATCTCTTGCATTCCCCAACGGGGCTAGGAAGCTGACCGCCGCACCGTTGGGTGATTCTTGGCTATATTCCGATGCATTCGGCCCATTCTTCGTCCCGGTCCTTGATGACGGATTGGCGGGCTGCTGGGGTCGTTGGTGGCATCAAATCTTCCGATACGGATTTGTAGCTTCAGCACGCTGGATCTTATCCGTGCTTCCGGTCGGCTTGGCTTCCCATCCCCAAGTCCGTCGTGTCACTTACGTAATGGTGGCTTTCTGTCTTAGCGGCTTTGTGCATGCCTGTGGAAGCCGTACCCAGATTGCAGATACATCTCCCGTGTCCGGGCCATTCCTATTTTTCGCTTTGCAGGGTGTTGCAATCATGGCGGAGCAGGTTTTCAAGACATCGGTCTTCCCGAAATCACCTTTTGCCCGTGCGCCGAGATGGCTGAGACGAACGGCTAACTTTGTGTTTGTATTTTGTTGGTTAATGGCCTCAGGTGGGCTCATCGCGGATGACTTTGCGAGGGGCGGCTTATGGCTGATGGAGCCTCTTCCAATTAGTCCACTTCGTGGACTGGGATTTGGGCTACAGGGGCAAGGTTGGTGGTGCTGGGATGAGCCCTGGTTCCGGTACTGGAGTGATGGTACATATTGGGGAAGCGGAATACGTGCGTTATAGAATTGATAGATCTAGAATTTGAGGTTACTTGAGATCCTTGAAGTCACTGCATGTCCACGAAATAAATTACATGATCGACAGTTTATGAGACATATAATTATAATATCTACCCGTCCATTGTAACATCGTCATCCTCTTCGTCGGTGTCAGATTCAATATTCAAAGTGGGCAATTCATCATCGCTATCATCAACTGCCTCCTCTGTGGCCTGCGAGATCAGGGTCGTAGATGTGGTGGACACCTGCGTTGAAAGCTTCGGGGCCTCAGTCTTGCTGATTGCAGGAGCTGGCTGAGAGAAAGGCTGTGGGTTCGAGGTGTTTGGGATAATTCCGTCGAATCGCGCCTTCTTGGACTGAACATCCTGCGTCTGTGGTGTTGACTCCTCAGCTGTGGGTTCTTCGGTATAGGTCCGCTTGTGGAAAGTAGGCACCGGAGTTGCAGCCTTCGAATCGTCCGGCTTCGGTACTTGCAAGGGCACCGACACAGGTTGCTTCAGAAATTCGGTAGTCTTTGGGGCGGCGTTGTATGAATCATCAGCCATGTCCTCATCTTCTGCTTCTTCGTCTTCATCGACATAGGCGTCAAGCTCAGGCGCAGTCATCAGGACAGGCATCCTGGGACGAACCAGAGCCTCCACCTCCATCTGATCAGCATAAGGCCTGGTCAAGAATGGAATGATACTCGAGCCTGCCCCACGGCCCTTGACTGCCGGGACAGGGTTGAGTACGCTAGCAAACATCGCATCCTTGTCGGATGTCAAAATAACGGAGCGGTCCATTTCAACCCGGATGGAGGGCGGAACAAGCTCGGCGGGGATAGAAAGGAGCACGGCCTGCAAAAGCCCAGATGCATTCTGCTGAATTTCCAAAAACGGAGAGGCCGCTTGTGGCTGGCGGAATTTCTGAATATCAGGGTTCAAAAAGGTATCCGCATTGGCTGTCCCTTGTCCGCCCTTTGACTTTGCTTTAGAGTCAGAGCCCAGATTTCCTGTAGAGCTGGAATCTTCAGTCGACGACAGTATATCATTGCAGCATGAGCGTAAGACGTTTGTCAAAGACACCACGCTCTGTTTCGTCATGGCAGGTCCGTTGACCGGCACCATAGAGCGAAGCAAAGCATAGACTGCTGAACGTAGGTCTCTATTGAACTTTTCGCCTTTAAAAGTCCACACAGCTTGCTCTAGTATAGTTTGCGTGACGGAGGTTGCGCTGGTCGCCAATATACCGACAACGTTGGAAAGCAAACCCATGCATGCAATGTGAATGCGAGGCAGCTCCATCCAAAGTGCCTCTCGCTCGTCACGGCCAATTTCCTGGTTGAACTGAATGCCAGAAGATGCGGCACCATTGGGTGGAACAGTAACAGAAGTGAGTCGGGAGGTTAAATCGAGAATAGAGCCCATCGGAAGGGCAACTGCAGCTGCAGATGGCATTGAGATGAAATCAGAGAGAATCTGCAGAAGTGCAATCAATCTATCCACGCCCGAGTGCAGTCCGCTCCAGCCTGGAAGTCCAAGACCATCTGGGCCCCCGTCACCCATTTCTTGGCTATAGTTTGGCCGTGTGTGCACTAGAGTCGCATCGACAGACTCCCACTGCTCTACGACGGCTCGGAAAACGTGGTCTGTCGTTCGGTGGATAGACAAAATAGTCGACTTGCAATCGTCTTTCCATCCAGATCCCGCCTGGTCCTTGGGTGCGCACTTGTGGAGAGAGACGAGCAGCTGCTCAGCTGCGTCGATCACATGCTCCGGAAAATACGCAGGCGAAGAAGAGCCAATTACTTCGGCGAGAAGAGTTCGGAGCTGGGCATTAAAGGGACGGAAGATGGTGATATGTCTCGGGATCAATTCCAGCAAGGCGTGCAGGACAATTTCCATGAATGGGGTGTTGGGCCTCGGCTGTCGGATTGAGCCCGAAGGAGTCTTCGTGATGGTAGAGACCAAGTTCAAGGCAGCGGTAACGAATCCCGGAAGTTGTGGGGTTGTGATCTCACGAACAAGTGTTGGGTACTGATAAGTGAGGTGGAAAATACGAGTTAGTGTGATAATACACATCTTTCTCGTAGATATCGGATCAGGTTTCTAGAAACGCATTAGTATAGCTAACATAAATAATGGGGTCCAATTTGATTCATACTGCGAGGATGCTGATCAAGCTGCGAACAATAGGCTCATAGCCACGCAGGATTTCCCATTGGCCAGCTTCGACTGTAGCCTTTACCAGAACAACGGCGGTCCATCTTCCCTCAACACTGCGGTCCTGTAACAGACTCGCTAGTCTAGTCTTCAGTTTATGAATTTGAATAGCATTTTCAGAGTCCGATTTGCCAGATTTTTGAGTTTGAGGGGTAGAGAGCAGCTCAGCGCAATCGTTCAATGAAGTCGCCAGGAACGAAGCTATCGAGGGTAATTGCTCGACCGGAGTAGTTGTCAGGCGATGCGTGATGGCGCGCAAAGTAGTAGAAGACATGGCAACTGGAACAGACCTGTATCACAGGACTTGACTTCAAAATTAGTCCAATTGATGGAAAAATGAGTGCCGACGAAAGATGGAAGTCTTATCGATAACTTTTTTTTCCATCGAAAAGCTCGGACCACCACGATTAAATTACTGTCACGTACGTAATCGCTCCCCACCCCTGGACAATCATCAGGCTTCAGTGAACGTTGACGACCTTGGGACGTTGGCGAAGCTTGATTGCTATTCTCCCTTTTTGCATCATTCACAACTCTCCTAATCATGGCTGTAAGTGTTATTCTTGCGTCTCATTCAACGTTTTCTGGTTTATATTTCTTCTAAATCATTGATACACTCAGTATTTATGTTGACATGCGCGAATCAGGGAGGTAATGCCGAGAAGGGTCAGGGCTACATCGCGGCCTTGGACCAGGCGCGGAGCCACGGAAAATGGGATGAGCTCCCCGAATTGATTCGAAAGGTCACAAAGCACGCATCGCAGAGGACTTGTACGCCACCGGCCCTTGGTTTTTTTATCTCAGCCTAACCGGGCTGTCTCTAGGCCTGATACAGACCGCAACGGCAGAATCGCGTGTGATTGCGTATCTTCAACAAAAGTCCTCCGGCGACTCATCCTCTTCCTCACCGAATCTGGTCGAGCTGATCCCCGCTCTATTGATGACAATTGAGAATAATGACGGGTCCCCACAAGAATTATTGCAAGCGCAGGTGTGTCTAGGGTGGATACACTGGGTATTGGATGAGCCTGCACTTGCGGCAGCGCGTCTCCCTAAGGATTTCGCGGGAATACTCGATAGCTTGGCTGGTGGAGGCGAGCAACCCACGTCGTGGACGGAGGTCTGTTTAGTGAAGGGATGCTGCATCAAGGGTATGTTTACTTTTACTTCCGGATGTAGCCAGTTATTAATCTGACAGCAAACCAGCAACCGCACAATCTGTTGCTGGAGACATTCATGAGTCATTGGAGACATCTGTCTCTCTGGTTCCATGGCTAAGCGGCGGCAAATTGACCTCAATCACCACCCCGCAATTCCTGAACTGGTCCGAGTCACTTCTGGGTAATGGTGCTCTTTTGGCTAGTGATGAAGTGACTAAACATGCGCCCTATTCGGATCATAGGCATGCAGATATTGCCTTGCAATTGCTCAGGTCATGGGCGGCTCATCCTGTCGTGAAACAGGGAGTCTCTGCTAACAGCCCATCGAATGTGGATGACTTCGCCTCGGCTCCTCGGGCATCGGTATGGACTGCTTATTATAGGTTCCTCACAGCAGTCCTACAGGGTGGGCTTACATATACCGGCCCCAATGATGGGCCGGACCGCCCGCAACTTTGCAATGAATTGCGTCGCGTAGAGACTATCTACGAACGCAATCTTCTCTCTGAGGTCACATTTCCTACGGCCAGCACCCAAAACTCGCAAGTCGAGGAATGGGTGGAGCAGGTAATTAGTAACTGGCAAGTCTTGTGTGGTCCCGAGTGGCAGGATTCGGATGTCGGCGAAGGAGGCCAGAATGCAGTTGGTCGTAATGTGTTAGAGGTGAGTCTAACAACAGATCTCATCAAACCATATGTACTAACACGTGTTGTCCTAGATTCTGTACCGGGCAGCAACAAGGACCTACCACTCTCATTTGGTACTCCGACGTCTCTTTCATGTTCATTCTGCTTTGGCAGACTTTGACTTCGCTGTGAAGGCGCTCGAATCCTATATTGAGATTGTCACTGCAGCCAAAGAAAGAGCAGAGAAGTCTGCTGAGTCCGGCCAGCTGGAAGATGATGAAGTATTGCTACAGACGCTCTCTGAAGGTGTCACATTATTGAGCTGCCTTGGCTCGCTGGAAGAGGCAGAGAAGGCCCGAGATCTGACTGAACTTATAAGAGAGTATATCGACAAGCACAACACGCCTCCCACAAACGGTCTTGTCAATGGCAATTCTACCAACTTGCCAAATATCCCCCCCTCCGTGTTGGCCTCCTCCTACCGAGCCATTGGTGTTGGACTTGCCTGCTGGGCAAGCTGGACTCCTGTGAATGAATCACGCGATGAAATTAGAGCTGATGCGATCGAATACCTGGAAAAGAGTCTTGCTCCAGAGTTGGGATGTAGCTCCAATTATTCCTCGCTTTACACCCTAGGCCTTGTCTTGGCCGAGAGCAGAGACTTGGACACTGCAATTGACTATGTCAAGTCAGCTCTGACACCAAGCAGCTCATCTACTGCCGTATCTGATGATCTTTCCAAAGAACGTGACTTGGTATCGTTGTGGCATCTGCTTGCCCTGCTGCTGAGTGCAAAACAAGAGTTCGAGATTGCTGGGCGTTCATGTGAGGCTGCATTCGAGCAGTTTCCCAAAGAGTTGTTCTCGAAGGGTCGCGAACGGCGTTCATCAAAGAACCCCAACCAGCGCCCCATTGTCAGCAGATTGCAAGGTAGAGAAAAAGAACGCATCGTCCAAACTCGCATTACCCAGCTTGCATTTATCGAGCTCCTGGAAGGACCTGAAGCTGCTGTCAACCACAGCACACAATTATTGAGTCTTTTTGGCACTCTTTTTAAGGATCTGGACCTCGAGGCTGGGGAGAACAAATCCAAGGCAGACCACTTAGTACCACCAAAGAGCTCTGCCGGAACTATCAGGAGCTTCCGTGGAAGCATTTTCGGCCGAAATAGAACGAGCCAGTTGCCAGATCGCCGTGCTGATCAGAGTAGTGGTTCTGATTCCGCCATTCCGCCCACCCCAGCTATTCCCAACGGTCATATGACGGATGCCCCGTCAATCCAAGTCACGGACGAAGATCCTCACAGTCGTCAGCCAACGGTCGGGAGGGCAGACTCTAAGAAACTGAAAAAGCGAACTTTAAGCTTTCATAAAAACGAGAGACCGCGCGTTGAAGAGCCTCCACTTCCTATTGAGGGTGAAACATCTGCAGACATGGTCGGCATTGCATTTTCTGGCAACACATCAACAGAGTCCGCGATCCGTCCTAACAAAGGCAAACAGCCATTGCCGGCGATGGCACACAATATGAACTATAAACAAGAGCCTCTCCCTATCGGCCATGAGGAACAACCCCCTAAGCAGGATGTCCGGCTCCCAATCGGCTACCGTTTCGATTCTCCCACAAGCGCCGTTATGAAGTATCCTCTAGTTCAATCCCAGAAGCACGCCTTAGGTCTTCTCGTCAAAATCTGGCTTGTTATCGCGGGTCTTTATCGCCGAGCTTCCCTGTTCGAAGATGCCCGCGAGTCGTGTCAAGAAGCTTCGAAACAAGCCGCGCGAGTGGAAGCACTCGTTGCATCAGAAGAATCCTCCGCTCGATCTTTTAGCAAGCGCGGCTGGGGTGCCTCCAAGAGCTCTGAGGAGCTTTGGGCTGATGTTTACGCGGAGCAAGGTCTTTTGTCCCAAGCTCGATCGAGGCCCCATGAAGCCATTAGGCACTTTGAGGAAGCGCTGCTGCGCTACCAAGACCACCCAACGGCGACTATTGGACTTGCCAATCTTCTCTTGGACATTTGGGACCAGAAATTAACCCCAGAGCCAGCGAATGCCGACGTGGATCTTAACGTCGCACGTCTGTCATTGCTGGCGGAGACCCCCAGCCCCAAGTCTGCGCAGGCCATCTCGACCGACGATCTCAAGGTATCAAGCGAGACCGATAATGCGGGTCACGAAGAAGTTTCTTTATCCGCACAAGATGTCGAGCCTAAGCAACTGCACCGTCTCGCGGCCCGCGATCGCGCCTATGGGCTTCTTTCTGCGTTGACAAAGCTCGGAAGCTCCTGGGACAACTCTGAGGCATGGTATGCGTTGTCGAGAGTGTACGAGGCTGGTGAGCAGGTCGAAAAGCTGAAAGAAGTTCTTTGGTGGTGCATTGAACTGGAGGATCGAAGGCCAATTCGGCACTGGTCCAATATCGGCTCCGGTGTCTATGTCCTATAATAAAGGTAACAAAATCCTGTATCTTCCTGTATCTACTTCATTTTGGATATCCTAGACCCTTGTTACATGTCACGTATAGTCCTACTAATTGTAAAGGGTAAAAACCTGGCACGTACCGCAATAGCCAGATCAATTGGGCAGGACGTTATAAAGCAACGTTCTACCAAAAAGAGCACCATGTCAACCCTTATGTTGACATGCCAGGTTACCAATTCATAACCCCACTATTTGAGATGCCTAGTCACTGTCGAAGTCACATTCCAAGTAAGGTTATGAGGGTGACTAGAATTGCGCCTGGCAATATGAACCATAATAATGAAGTCAAAGGTAGCATACTTGGTCGCCGTTACTATTGGCAAAAAAACGTCTTTATATACATCTCCGCAAACGACAATGAGTTGTCAATGGGTTAAAAGGGAAAACAAGATCAGTTGAACGGCAAGAAAAGTGGATTGATTCTGCTATTGCAAGTAAATCTACCGCGGAGCAGCAACGGGAGTCCAGGCGGCGATCTTGGGCCGGGTGCTAGAGTGACGTTAGTCGATACACGGGAACGACAGCAATATCGCACATAGGAAAATTACACGTACGTGGAATAAGTCTTGAATGCAGCGCGGCTCTGGGTCGGGTTGGGGCGGGGCTCAGCGAGCTCCCATGGACGGAGACCGGACTGCATGATCTTGTCGGCGTGCGGGGGCGCGTCAACGAGATAGGAGATCCAGGCGTGCCTTAATAAGGTCAGTTCCACATCATCGCAGGTACATCATTGACCCAGTGTCTCGAGAGAAGCGCTTACCAGCCAGGCTGGATCTGGGATGCGTCGAATTCGGCGTCCTTGTAGTCGATCCACCGTGTTCGGACTAAGCGGAGAAGTACCATTAGAACTTCATGTTTGAATGTGATAGTATGAACTGAAGAGTCTTCTTACGAGGCAATTCCTCCAGGTTCTCGAAGTATTTGTTTCCGTAGCGGTCGACTCCGATCAGAGTTCCGGCCTTGGTATCACCTGTAGAACGTGTAATGTTAGTCAACTGCTGGGCAGATATCGATAGGGTGGAAACGTACCAATGTTCTATACCACAGCGAACAAGGGCATAGGTTAGTCTCGAGCTCATTCAATTGATCTGCTGTTCCGGGGGAGGCGTTCGTAACCTACCTGCATCTGGTGGGCGGCATCCTGTACAAGTGTGTTAGCAAACGAGTTTCTATAGGGTATAGATCGCAATTATACGAACCTTGAAGCCGACTCGGCGGAGATTGCGCAGCGTCCTCACAATAGTCGACATCTTTGCTGGTGTATTGTGCTAGAGCGAATGGGATGCGAGAGATTGGCGATTTGAGGTTGCAGGAGGGCGGTGTGTTTGCACTGTTTGCACCCTGCTCTACCATGGATATCCCGATTCAGAAAACCCTCGATCTTGAATATTCAGACATGTTCGGTCGCATTAAAGGGCAGACGCTTTGTTGTGCTGGGCGTCGCCCAGCCGCACGTCGGAGACTGTGTGCTCGCCAATTTTCTGCGCATGCTGGTACAGGAGCTCCGACTGCAGCATCTGCTCCTTCACCTCTAGCAGGAATCACCGCGGAGCTAGACCGTATTGCTCCCCGATTCGAGGTGCCTGCGTCTCAGATTCATATTATTGACTCCCCGGCCCATTTCTACTCTACATTGAAGGTATCTTCTGTTCTGTTTGTCTCCTCGATATAATTTGGAACTAACTGGCTGTTCTGCAGAATAAAATTCGCAATGCCCGGCGGCGCATTTACCTCTCGACCTTGTACATCGGCAAGACAGAACACGATCTTATTGACACCTTGAGCCAGGCTCTCCGCGGTAATCCAGATCTCAAAGTTTCTATTCTCACCGACGCTCTGCGCGGCACGCGGGAGACACCGAATCCTTCATGCGCTTCACTCCTTTGTTCGCTGGTTGAAGAGTTCGGACCTGAACGAGTCGAGATTCGGATGTTCCATACTCCCAATTTGACGGGTCTGAGAAAAAAATGGATCCCTCGCCGCATCAACGAAGGCTGGGGCTTGCAGCACATGAAGCTATACGGGATAGACGACGAGATCATTCTATCGGGGTATGTTATCTGCGAACTGGTACAAACATGGAGTACTAATATATTTGCAGAGCAAACCTATCCGACGAATACTTCACCCACCGCCTAGACCGATACCATGTGTTCGACTCCAAGGTGCTGACTGAATATTACGCTCGCATCCACCATGCAATCTGCAGTCTGAGCTTCCAGGTGCTGCCGGACCCTCAAGACAAATCCGGCTATATTTTGGACTGGCCTGCCACAAACAAACCCCCTTCTCCGCTTGATGATCCTCAGCAGTTTATCGCATATTCTTCGACCTTCTTAAGCCCGCTCATTCAGGCTCCTGCCAACAAACCTGCGCTTCCCTCCTCGTCAAGTCAAACATATGTATACCCTGTATCGCAGTTTACTTCTCTCCTGCAACCCGATGACACATCTACCGAATACCCTGCCGTGACGACCATTCTCCATCTTCTGTCAAGCTCATCAGTCTATGCCGGGGCCCGCTGGCTCTTCACAGCAGGCTACTTCAACATGCACCCCGTCCTTTCCTCCCTCCTAATTTCCAGTACTACCACCGCCTCGAAGACTCCTACCACCACGAAAGGTACCGTTTTGACGGCCTCACCGTGGGCAAATGGATTCTTTGGCTCCTCTGGAATCTCGGGAATGTTACCAGCCGCATACACACATCTCTCCGCCCGCTTCCTTGATCGCGTCGCCGAGGCAGGTGCGACCGACTCCATTCAACTGAAGGAGTGGCGCAAGGGCACTGTTGGCACGCCAGGCGGATGGACCTACCATGCCAAAGGTCTGTGGATTACACTGCCGCGTGAGGAACACCCCAGCCTCACCTTCGTCGGTAGCAGCAACTACACCAAGCGCAGCTACAGCCTAGACCTTGAGTCTGGTGCGGTGGTCGTGACGAACGATCCGGGTCTTATGCAGAAACTGGGTGAAGAGACTGAACGGCTCCAGAAAGATGCCTCCCCTGTCTCGAGAGATGACTTGATGCGAACGGAAAGGCGAGTCGGATGGAATGTGAGACTTTCCATGTGGATTGTAGAGAAGGTTGGCGGTGCCTTCTAATTCTCTTCTTGGTCTTTTGTATAAATATCTCTTGAAAATAATAGCGAGTCTGTAATATACTGATGGTTGAGGCTATCAGACCATCTGAGTCACCCACTATGGATCCACCATTTCTATTCGATTACACCAAAATCACGCAGAAGGACCCAGAATGACCACTCTGAAATACCCCATGTCTATCCAAGGAATTATCCTCTCAAAATTCTGGTTCGGCTTCGATCTAGATGACACGCTCCACGAATTCCGACGGGCCTCTGCCAATGCCTCGGTCCGCGTCTTCGAAACGATTCACGCCTCAAACAACAAGACCAGCGTTGATACTCTCAAGAATACATACCAAGATATCCTGCGCAATACAACCGCAAACGCCTTCACAGATGGGAGGACTTCAAGCGAGTATCGGCGCGAACGGTTCGGGCGTCTTCTCCAGACGCACGGGCTCACTGATGACTCTTTCCTGAGTCGTCTGTTAGAGGTATATCGAGACTCTCTACGCGAAAACTTGACTCTCAAGCCGGGTGGATTGCATCTTTTGCAAACTTTGCGAGAACTGGGAAAGAAAATCATTGTCATTACTGAGGGTCCGGCGGATGCGCAGGAGTGGACAGTCCAGGAACTCGGGATACGGCCTTACATTGATGTGCTTGTGACGACGAACGAGGTCGGGAAGTCTAAGATTGATGGGCTGTTTGGTGCCGTGCTGGAGAAATATGGTATCGCCGCTGAAGATATTGTATACTTCGGTGATAATGCGATTCGCGATGTTCAGGCTGCGCGGCAGGAAGGGATCCTGGCTGTTCTTTATGATGAAAAGCAGCAGTCTCGTTTCTACGATATCAGTGCATTACGAGTGGATTCGTGGGCTATTGTAGAAAAAGTACTCGTCCATGGAGACATATAGAGCATCGAGACATAAACATAACTTTTGCTCTAGCCATCAAGAGATATCAACCCTAACGCACAGGAATGCCGTAATAAAATAAATAATAAAAACCAAACGCCATGTCATGACTGGGAGCTCCCGTCGTCTCATATGCAGTGTAAATCTTCATCTAAGCTTTTCCCGAAACCTTGCCTTTCACGCCTTGGAGTCGAGCTGGGCCGAGACCGGATCGCACTTCGTCGAGCATTCTGATACCAATGGCCTCGTTACCGTTCCTGCCACGCTTGTGCTTGGCGCCGTGTCGCTTCGCCTGTCCACTGGTATTGGGGTCCCAGCTGGAGAGGAAGTCGTCCATGACGTTGTTGAAGGTGCTGCTGCTGTGCACGGCTTCGCCGTTACCATCGATCAGACTAGGGGCTATGGATGATGTGGTGGACATGCCCGTCATGCCCGTCATGCCGGTTGCACCTGTCATCCCGCTGATCATGGACATGCTGTCATCAAATTCGTCCTCCTCGTCGAGAGCGTAGAGCTGCTCAACCTTGTCAAATCGGTCGTCAAGGAGACGGTGGCCGGCAGTACGAGCCAGAGCGGACGAAGTCATGGAGTACGCAGACGGGTTGGTCAGAGCACCCTTGCGCTTCTTCCGGCGAATTGGCGTTCCGCCAACAGTGAAGGTGGTCGACGCCATCGTCTGCGATGCTGCGATTGTAGGTGCAGCTGGTGTGGGAGCATTGCCAGCCTTGGCATCTTTTTTGAACTTGGCGAACTCGCTCATCCAACTCTGGTCAGTGGGCTGCATATCGGGAGCCGGCTTATCAGGCTCGGGCATCTCGCCTGCATCCATTGGTGGCTTTACAGATTCTTCTGGCAGTTCATCTTCCATTGAGCGATGAGCCTCGGTGCTGTCCGGTTGCACGGGCGCTTTCTCCGTAGCATCCGACTCCCATCCCTCATCATCGACTTCGTCGTCGAACAGGGAATCCTCCCAGTCGCCCTCATCCATTTCCTCCGCATTAGCTGTTAATTCTCCAAAGATTCCGTCAGCGTCGCCATCCTCGACGAAGGCTTCGTCCTCCAGAGCCTCCAGCGCCTCTCGCAGCCGCGGGTCCATGTCAGGCTTGAATCCAGCAATTGCATCTGGGACGTTCTGCTGATCCTGGTAGGTTGGCTTGCGGATAAAGGATGAAGTGGTCGAGCGCATATCGCCATATTGTGAGCCATAAAGACTGGGACCAACGGAGGCGCCCGAACCATAGGTATCTTTATCCACGAGCGAGACCTGCCGCAGCGCATCTTCCAGCTTCATCCCTCGGCCAGCCCTACCCTTAGCCTTCTCATTCTTGGCTTCGACAAAGTATGCATCTCCGCTGCCGCTTCCCAGCTCGCGGAGATGCTGCATGTAATCGTAGCTGGAGTCATCGTAATAGACGCCGTAGTTGGCAGCCTCGCCCTCATTTTTGCGGGCACTATCGCCGTATTCGGACTGGAGGTCAGACAAATTTGGCAATGTCTTCTTCGAGGTGTTCGATGAGGGCGCAGGCGCGGGGCCTCCGACCTGGTACAGGAAACGGTCCTCCGCACTGGTATCGTGGATCAACGGGTCATTTTGAGACCGGTGAAAGAGCTGGAACTTGCTCGCGTTCTTCTTGTCACTAGGGGCATGTCAGCTTTGACGCCATAATCATCCTTATGCGATACGTACATCCACTGTTTGGGCGGCATCTTTGCTTTGGTCAAATTTTTGATATCGCAGAAAAAAGGGAAAAAGTGGGATTGATAGGGTCACGTGTAGCTTATCGCCCCTCGTTCTCCGGGGTCCTCAGAATCTGAACTGTCGGAGTAGTTAGTAGTATACGATGTTTAGGGGGGGGGGGTGGTTCTTTTCCAGTTCCACTCTATTCGTTTAATTCTGATTTGACTCATTGTGCAACTTCGCTTGGAGGCTTGGGTATTCATTGGGCTCGGCGCTTCAAGGCCCGCATCAATAGTATACATATTGAACCAGAAGCCCTAGTTATAGACTATATTGGTCCTCAGATATGGCTTCAACTATTTTCTGCTCCTATATTTACCATATACAACTAAAATAACCATAAAAACCTGCAAAAAGTACAAAACATGGCCATATACTTCCTTACCTAGATGGCCATCCCGCCATAGAGGGGCTTAGTCAGCGTTATCTTATCCGTCTGAATAATCCAAAATTCCCTTTTCAGGTGGGGGTTGTGTCTCGACTTAATTTTTTACTTCCTACAACTTTTCTCGATTTTAGGGAATCGAAAGCCATCGCCATCATGGTTTTACCTAAATCTAAGAAATCCGTGGGACTGGGTTCCAGTCTCATGAACGATCGGTTCGGAAAGGGCAAAGCATCGGCTCAAAAGAAGGTCTCTCACAACAATGCCATCCAGCGCACAGGTGTCAATGGTGAAACCTACGTCACCAACGAGGCGAAGGAGGCATCGTGGGTCAAGATGCGCAGTATCACTGAGCAGGCAGCGCTCGACGAATTCCTGAGTACCGCCGAACTAGCTGGAACCGACTTTACCGCTGAAAAAATCAACAACGTCAAGATCATCCACTCCGATCAGAAGAACCCCTTCCTTCTCACCCCCACAGAAGAGAGGAAAGCTTTCCTGAAGCACCAGAAAAATAAAGACCGCCTGACTGTTCCCCGACGACCCAAGTGGGACCAGTCCACGACTCGAAATGAACTAGAAACGATGGAGAAACAAAGTCTGTTGGACTGGAGACGAGGACTGGCTGAGCTGATTGAGAACCATGATCTGCTGATGACTCCATTCGAGCGCAATTTGGAGGTCTGGCGCCAGTTGTGGCGAGTTATTGAGCGGTCCGATCTTATTGTGCAGATTGTCGATGCGCGAAACCCGTTGCAGTTCCGTTCGGAGGATCTGGAGAGTTATGTCAAGGAAATCGATCCCCGAAAGCAGAATTTGCTGTTGGTTAACAAGGCGGATATGTTGAGTCTGAAGCAAAGAGAAGCTTGGGCTGCGTACTTTGAGAAGCACAAGATTAACTTCCGTTTCTTCTCTGCTCATCTCGCTAAAGAGAAGAACGAGGCCCTCGCTTTGCAAGAGAAAGAACTTGATTCCGATGATGAACTCGCCCAGTCGGCGCAACATATCGACATACACTCCAATGAAGATGATGGATACCAGAAGGAGGATACAGTGGAGGAAGAAAGGGCTAAGCTTGCCGACCCTGAGCGCTCGCTTGGGCCACACATTCTGGACACTGACGAACTGGAAGAGCTTTTCCTGGCCAACTCCCCAGAATCACTACCACAAGATGACGAGTCTAGCGAGCCCAAGCGTAAGACTACAATCGGTCTGGTCGGTTACCCTAATGTGGGTAAATCCAGTACCATCAACGCCCTTCTCGGTGCGAAGAAGGTTTCTGTCTCTGCCACACCCGGTAAGACCAAGCATTTCCAGACTCTCTACCTTTCGCCGGAGATTATGCTGTGCGATTGTCCCGGTCTCGTGTTCCCCAACTTCGCCACCACTAAGGCCGAGTTGGTCGTTAATGGTGTGCTGCCCATCGACCAGCAGCGCGAGTTCACCGGTCCCGCCGGTATTGTCGCCAAGCGTATCCCCAAGCATTTCATTGAGCAGGTTTACGGTGTGAAGCTCAGAATGCGTCCCATCGAAGAAGGCGGCACTGGCGTCCCCACTGCCAGCGAGATTCTGCGTGCCTATGCTCGCGCCCGCGGTTTCTCCACCCAGGGTATTGGTCAGCCCGACGAGTCCCGCGCTGCACGATACGTCCTCAAGGACTATGTCAACGGCAAGCTTCTCTGGGTCAACCCTCCACCAGTTGGCGAGGACGAAACTCCAATTGACAGCGTCGACTTCAACAGCGACCTATATGACGTCGCCCATCTTCCTGAGAGACGCCGAGCTCAGCTCACACAAGCCAAGATTGGAAAGCATACCGCAGTAGAAGAGGTCACCGCGGAGCCCACCGGCGACGTCGACTCGGAAATCCCCATTGAAGTAGCCAAGATTTCCGTCGAGCCAGAGCTCGGTCGCACCTCCCGCAACCTTGATACAGGCTTTTTCGGCTCAGAAACCGGCCCCTCTGCCGGCCGTCTGACGCTCCCCTTCCAGGCCCGGTACACCCAACAGGGCCAGGAGATGCGCAAGGTGCCAACAGGCCGCAAAGAGCGCATGATGGTTGCTCTTGAGCGTGGCGTGGATGTCTCCGAAGTGAAAGGCAACACCGGCACGAAGAAGCACTTCAAGGCAAACAAGCGCCTGGCCAAGGGCAAGCGCAACAACCCTGCGGATGACGACTACTAAAAAGTGATTTTCTTTTATATTTCCTTTGCATTGTTGCTTGCGCTCGCAGGCGAGTCGAGGGAGATCGGAGCTCTCCCTCTGCTCTACGAGGTATCATTCTTGGGCTTATTGGGGCTTGAGGTGGATGAATTGATAAATGGTCCCACATATGGGATTTGCATGTCATGTCGGGATTGACGGTTTATGTCCATGTACATGTTCATGTTTGTTGAGGAATCATCTTTTTGGCGTTCGGTTTTACGAGTTGAATAACGATTTATACCAGTCATTCATTCACTTGATCATTGTCACTTTCCTTCCATCTAAGACTATCAAGTCCAACGTAAAACCAAGTAAAACCGGAGCAATGTTCGTGCATTCTTATTCCAACCGAACTAGCCCTACATGTAAACTATATCTCCCCATTAACTCAAAGATGGCTCTTAGGCTTGAACCCAGAAGCAACAAGCAAGCGATCCGCCTCCGCCCGCTGCCAATTCAACTTGGCAATAACCGCATCCTTGCGAGTCTTGTTCTCCCGCTTACCCAGCTGCTGCAAGTGGACCTCATCCGGACCATCCGCAATGCGCAGCGTACGAATCATAGCCCACATATACGCAAGCGGGGTATCCTGGCAAATACCAGCTGCACCATAAGCCTGCACCGCGCGATCGATGATAGTAAGCGCAGTCTGAGGAACAAGCACCTTGGCCTGAGCAATCTCCTTGAGCGCGCCCTTGGCATTACCCTGATCGATCTTGATAGCAGCGTTCAAGACCACGAAGCGGGCGGCATCGACCTCAATGCGCGACTTGGCAATCCACTCGAGGATCACGCCGTGCGCGACTAGAGGCTTGCCGAAGGTCATCTTGCGCTCGTCGTTGACGCGGGCAATCAGCCACTCGAGCGCGCGCTCGGCGGCGCCAATCGACCGCATCGCGTGGTGGATGCGGCCGGGTCCCAGGCGGCCCTGGATGATCTCGAAGCCGCGGCCTTCGCCGAGGACCATGTTTGAGGCTGGCACGCGCACGTCTTTGAATGAGATGTGGCCGTGGCCGTGGGGTGCGTCGTCGTACCCGTATACTGTCAACATGCGGTGCACTGTGATGCCGGGGAGTCCGGCGGGGACGAGGATGACGGACTGCTGCTTGTAGGTGTCTGGGTTGGAGGCGTCGGTCTTGCCCATTACGAGGTAGATTGCGCAGCGGGGATCGCCGGCGCCGGAGGACCACCATTTCTGTATTGGCTGTTAGATGTTGAGGATGAGAAGGGGATTGTAGAGGTACACACCGAGCCATTAAGGACGTACTCGTTGCCCTCACGGCGAATGTCAAGCTCGATATTTGTCGCATCGCTAGAGGCAACTTCCGGCTCGGTCATTAGGAAAGCAGAGCGGATCTTGCCCTCTAACAGAGGCTCAAGCCACTGCTTCTTTTGTGCGTCGTTACCATACTTGGCGAACACCTCCATGTTGCCGGTATCTGGGGCAGCATTGTTGGTAGCCTGATAAGAAGCAATAGTCAGCGATCAATCGTATCAATTTGCAAGACCTGCCCAGCAAGTAAAGCAATGCGCCAGACAAAATAGAATAACTCACCTCCGAGGCAATTTTGCTTTTGCCGAGCAACTCGGCCATCAATCCATACTCCAAGTTTGAGAATCCAGCGCCCTGGCTGAAGTGGTTCTTAGGCAGGAACATGTTCCACAGCCCGATCTTCTTGGCCTTCTCCTTCAGGGACTCCAAGATGGCGGGGTTGGTCTTCCATCGCTGCTCCCCCTCGCCAAGCTGGGCTGAGAAGACGATATCGGCAGGGATGCAATCTTTTTCGACGAATTCTTCGACCTGGAGTCATGTTAGCGCTGAATATTGGTGATTTGCGGATATTGGAAATAAATTACCAGATCGAGGGTCCGCTTGGCCTGTTCGCTGACGAACGGCTGGGCAATGGGCGGAATACGAGAAGAAGCGGACATTTTGGATATAAGAATGATTGAATTGATGCAGAATATAAGCAGAATCAACGGATCCGGGGAATATAAGGGAAATATAAAGAGAACGAGGTCAGCCCATCCAAAATTGCGGAGAAGGTGGAGAAGCCGAGTCCAAGTGCCTCGGCTCAGCTCCTAACCGGACGACTTGGAGATTCTTGATATCTCACGACGTCAAGGTAAATCGGCCAGATCTCCGAGATTACTTGTACAGAAGTCTATTTGGAACTATGTATATGGATCAGAACATTAGTATTCAATCATTGTTCAATATTATGATATGGCAAGTAGGTCTAGTTAACAAGTTAACAACGGAGTACAGCCGAGATATCAATAAGAAAAGAACAGACAACTGCCATTCAACAGGAGAAATAAAGGGGAAATCAAAGATTCAAGCCAGCTATAAGCCAAAAAGATATCTCTTAGCTACCCCTGCTTCTGCAGTTCTTTCCCGAAATGGCAGTCCATTCAACATCCCGAGGTCTGTAGGAAATCGACTAAGCCCTGACACTGTATTGTTAGCAGCCTGAATTACACATTCTACACATATGCATATAGCCATGTCACAACCAAGAAAAGATTGCGTTGATTCCAATGTGCTCCATGAGATATCCCAATTACAGTTCCATCCATCCATCCCATACCCCGTACACACAAAAAAAAGAGCAAAAGCAAAAGGCATTGCAGGTCATCACACAAAAGAAAAGAAAAGAAGAAGAACATATAGAAGAACAATAAATCCTAACCCAGACCTGCTCATATCCAAGATCTCGAATCTGCCTTTCCTCAATGCATCCGACACAGCGACCGGCGCCGAGTAAAAGCGATTGAAGGAAAAGACCATAGAAGCAGAGTCTGGGGGGAAAGAAAAGAGAAAGAAGAAAAGGAAAAGAAGATCGAAGTGAAACACCTCAAAAGACCCGCATCTAGTTCTCAAGGCCCTTCTCGGCTGAAGATTGCTCGTAGCTCTTCTTGCCGAGCTTGGCGAACAACGATTGGGGCTTGCCGGCACTGCAGTTGAGTAGGTTAGCTTGGATTCGATTCAAAGTCTATGTGGGAAAAGGAAATCACATACTTCTTGAACCGCTTGCCCTTGATATCGCTCAATTTCTTTGTGCAGGGGCTCATGATGTCGTCTGAGGGTGAGACGTAGGAGGTTGGTTGTCTGTTATGGAAGGTTAGTTCGTTGCAGAAAAGAATAATAGGATATTTTATATGGGAGTACTCACTCCTCGCCTGTTACTTTTCCCTGCAATACCTGGCGGTGGTGCTCCATTGATGAGATGTCTGAGCCCTTCAGGTCGGTCTTGTCGCTCGCGTTGCTCAGGTGAGTGTTGGTTGAGCGGTCGGCCAGGGGCTGAGCTTGTGTGGTTGCGTCCATTTTGTGGGTGTGTAGGGATTTGAATGGGTTAAAGGGAGGTGTAGATAGGCAGTGATGTGTATTGCGTGGAGGATTGCGTAGTTAAAAGGGAAGAAGGTTGACAAAAACAACTCGGATAAGGTGAAAATCGTGTGTTGGGTGGGCTTCGATTGTTGTCCGGGCAACTGAGTATGACGCCACAACATATTCCCTCAACCTTGGATAATTGTTACTGTTATACAGGCTTGTATTTATGGATATCTAGGTTTTCATTCAAAGAATGCAGATAACTCTAATAACAGTCACAGTAGGAAACAAAATAGTAAACACAGAAAGTGGGAATCATTGGTCGTCCAAACATACACGTAATAGGGTACATAGAACAGTGTACAGATGCAGAACGCTAGTGGATAAAGATCAGAATGCAAGGTCATAAAGTATGGCTAAAGCCATTATACCATGAAAGGAAGTATCACAGCTCAGGTGACTGTGGAGTATCGGTAACCCGGGCGACATCGTCCGGTGTAGTCATGTCCAGGTCATCAGGCCGCCCATTCAGTACAGGCGGTGTACTCTGAGAACGGGGTTGTGGTGTCCCCAGAGTAGGCACAGACATAGACTTGGGAGAGACGGGTTCTTCCACCCTGTCTGTCTCCCCGACATCTCGTTCTGGAGAAGAAGAAGACGTAGGAGTCGGCGGGGAATAAGCAGCGGTCGGACTAGTAGCGCTATCTTGGGACGAGTCGGAGAGGTTTCTGCGATGGCCACCGTTCTCACGGTATGAGGACGAAGTCGGGCGTGTCGACCCCGGGCTAGCCGATGGTGTGGCGAAAATTGGAGATGAAGACCGCAGACTGTAGGACCGAGCGACCATTCTTTGAACGGCAGGGAATTCCATATAGTTGCTTCCCGACCCCCGTGAGAACAGGGCGAGGGCAAAGCAGCAGAGGACCATGATGCTCTGGATCACGGTGACTCTCTTTTGGAAAACGAGCTCGTCTGCAAGAACACCGAGCTGGCCGCTGAGGGAGTGGACTTCTTGGTGGTACTGAATGCGCTGGTGCTCGAATTCAAGAGCAACAGACTTCCAGACGTGGTCGTACTGCTCGCGGAATTCTCTCAATTCGTTGAGAACAGTGACGTTGAGACTTTCAAGGAAGGTAGATGTCTTCGCTAGCTGCCGCTTCTCAACCTTGTTGAACGCATCGCGCAAGATGCGAGATTGTTCCTCGATATAGAGAAGAGACAGGGTTGAGTTCGACTCGAGCATCTGGAGCCGCTTGTGGACGGACTTGAAGAAGGATTCTTGGGTCGTGGGATTTGCAGATGGCGGTTGAGTGTTGGTAGGTCTTGTCGATTCTGGAAGAGGGCTGTTCTGCTCCTCTTTTGGGTTGGTAGTAGGTTTCCCTGCGGTCTCGGATGTGGCGTTCTGCTGAGCAGGCTCGAAAGATACGCTTGAGGCATCCGGAGCGGCCACGACACTTTTGGCAGGCTCGCCCTGTTTTCGGATATCCTCAGCTTTTGAAGGGGCGGGTGGTGCGACATTGGTCGCGGAGGGACTACCTCCAACTGCAGCAGTAGAGTTCTGTTTCGGTGGTGGATTGGTCTGATCCGTTGTGGCTGACGACGATGGAGTCGGAAAAAGCGGTCCATCATCAATGCTGCATGTATCTCCATCATTATGCGTCGCAAAAGGCGAGACAGCCTCTGATGGAGGGTTTGGACAAATCTCCTCCACTGTAAGGCTAGGTTGGCTAGGTTCCACCGCAGGAATAGATTCCTCGACTGGCATTTCCACAGGCTTGATCTCCAGGTCTTCGGGAACCTGAATAGCTTCACTGGCCTCCAACTCCTCAACCTCAACGTGATCAGAGCTCTCGCCATGCTTGTACTCTTCCATCATGGTCGTACCATGCACCCGAATCAAGCTGACGGGGCAGAAGAACTCATGCCCATAGTGCGTGAGGAACTCAATTCTCAGATATCGAGCCCAAATAAGCGAGTTCTCTACTGCGAAGGCTTGCACCTCACGAGTGTTGCGTGCCTCATACACCCCGAGTTCTTTCCACTGGTCTGGTTTCGCGGGATACCGATCGGAGACACTAACCCGGAACGTGTGGAAGATGGAGCTGAAGAACTCATAGTTTGCAAGGACAACCGTATCAACCAGAATATCATCACACATTTCCAGAACAAGAAATTTGTTCTGCGCGCGACACTCATTGAGCATATAGCTATCCTTATTCTCAATGAGCACAGAAGAAGAACCCTTGCTTTCAGGATTCGTCTTCAAGACCGTAGCTGCGCAGTCAAAGGAAGCATAGTTGAACCGCTCTTTGCAAGTAGTGCCCGCATCCTTACGACGCGACGCATCTCTCTGGAGCGCACCCTGCCCTTGCACATCCACATTGCCTCTGCCATCCGCATTCCCCGACTGCCCAGCCTCGCGAGACGGGATATGCGAGCCCCAAGCGGTAGGACTAGCCTCGGGCGTCTCAGCGCCGAACCCACCAAAGTCCAACTCGATCTCGGCATCGTCGCCCAGCGAATCCAAAGCATTATTGATTCCAGTCGGCTGCCGACGATCTTCCTTCCCAGCAGCCGCAGCGCGTCTGCTCCCTCCAACATTCTCGGCTGATTGTCCGACCTTCGCTAGGTTCTGCTTCTTCCAGTCCTCAAAAGAGAGGAAATTACCACCGTCTAATAGCGAGTCCGTATCTTGGTCCTGTTCGGCGCTCTGGTCGGCGATCGTTTTCGCTCTCTCTCCTGGCGTCCCGCTCGGGATTATAGGTGGATTCACGACCGGCTCGTTGGCTGTCGCATTTGTATCGGGCGCCGAGGCAAGGTAGATATCGCGACCCGGCCCCCAGCGCGTCTCCAGACACGGCGGCAGATGGAAGAGCTCGGACTCGGTCTGCCAGGTACTCTTCGCTGGACATGTCGCTGGTGTTGTGTGGTGAGCAGTTTGCGCCCCGTTCGGGGGTGGCTGGGCGGTCGCATTGGAGAGCGCGCTGTGGCAGAGAGCCAAAATGATCGAGGCGCGGTATATCCAAAAGGTCAATGAGGGTCTTGTGGTCAACATGCTGTCGATTTGGTGATCAGATACTCGCATGTATAACTCCCTCGGTGAGTTCAAGCTATGAATTCGACCTGCTTGCTATGCGCATCGTGGCTGGGAGTAAAGGAGTCGGCACGGGAATTTCTCCTAAGTGGTATTTCGCTATACGTGGGGGAGGTTGCGATTAAGCAAACCCTAGCTTGGCGACAAGTGGCGGTCTCCAGAAAGAAATGGATCGTCTGGTATAAATGGCAGGTGATAGTGGACCGGTGGCATCTCGGCCACGCGCTGGGCCTGACCGCCTTTCAACTCGGTGAGAGCTTCAGGGCTGCAACGTTCAGGATTCAATATACAACTTAGTTAGACTACAACTACAACTACAGACTCATCATCTATGAATTACAGAGAATCATATTCTTCGTGGATAATGTTTGATTTTCCCTTTGGACTGTTCCACGAAACTAGTTACAGTATAACACAATCAAGAGAAAACGGCCACGGTATTCCACCACGTAGGCAAATCGACTTCACCGCAACTCATTCCACCTTTCCCTGAAGAAACCACGTCAATCGTGTAGTTCGTATGAAAGCCTCTCGCCAGAATTAAATATCCACCAGCGCGTTCCGAGCCAGCCTTCTAACCTTTTGTAGTTGTGTATCCGTCGTCTCCGCCAGTGTCCTTGATCCTCGGTCTGATATTGTACAGGAAGAAGAAAAAAAACAGTGTGGACGACCAGGGAGGATGATACAATGCACGTGGCAATGCACCGTTGGGGACGGACGGAAACAGACGAAACACCCAATCCGAGAACAAAGAGACATAAGACAGAAAGCGGAAGTTTATTTTATCGTGGGCATTTTTGAACTTTTTTTCCCAACTGAATCGAAACATGCAAGCAGACATCAAAATGAGGGGAGAGTATAGGGTAAGGGTGAGTGAAGTTCGAGTGAATGTCGACAACCCTAGAAGTGAGTCTCATGCCAACCACCGACAAGATCGAGATCATCGTCAACGCTTCCATCAAGAGGAAGGAAGCTGCTGGGGACATGGCTACGCCAATCCTGCTGTTCGAGCAAATGGCGGCGGCGAACCTCGACAGGCGATGCGGGCTTGGACTTGCCCTGGTGGTATCCGGAAGTACCTCGACCCCAATCGTGTCGCCGAGTATTGGCAGCAACACTCTTGGGGCCAAACACCTCACGCGACTTGCGGGGCTTACACTTGTGCAGTTCGTCCTCGGGCTTGTACTGGCGTCGGACTTCACCGAGCATGGACCACTTATCGGCCCGAGACGGCTCGTGTGGGGAGCTCCGCATGGGGCGGGGCGTGCTACTCGACGCACTGGAGTCGCTGTCTTCGTCCAAGGAAAGATCCCCCAATACATGGGGTTCCATCTTCAGATCCACATCTGGGCCGTGAGAGCGATGGTTGGGGGAAGCGGAGGCCGGCTCGCGCAATCTTGGGAGGGCAGCTCCCTGGCTCTCTTGGCTCCAGCTGCGAGAGTTCTGCTCCCGTCGTTGAGCCACAGCAAGATCCTCATTCTCAGACTCTTCTTCGTCCCACATGTCGCACCAACTCTTTGAGATCTTGTCGGCACCTTTGTTACCAAAGACCATCGACAAGGAAGGGAGCGGCTTCGTCGTGTGAGACGGCAGTGATCCAGTGATGGAAACCGGATCAGAGCGAGGAAGAGACGGGCCCGCACGCTTGCGGAGATCATCACGCTTACGAAGATTGAGCAAGACAAAGGATTCACTGAGCTGGGAGTCCAAAACAGAAGCCACTGAAGGGGATTCCATGCGAGACGAGAACCACGAGGTTCCTGCAGCTTCGGAAGCTGGGAACAGATCCTCGGTGTAGCTCTCGTTGTCCGGAATGGCAGAGAGTTGTCGGATAGCCTGGGGAGGGGTCGACTGGAGCGCCTTGGCCCATGGGAAAGCATCTCCCTGGTTGACATATGGGCTCTGGAGAGATGGGGTGCGAAGTGGTTCGCGGTTGGCGCTGGCAGGAACCACCTCGCGGTCCTCGGTGCAAAACTCGTCAAGAGATTCGTCGTCGGTAGTGAACGAGACCGCGCGGAGGATGCTATCACGCACATCCAGCAAAGACCGCTTGGAGGGATCAATGGTCAAGGCATGAGTCAGAATCTCGTACGTGTCCTGCGACATGTTGGGGAAGATATCGAAAAGCGACTGGCGATCCCGCACATAGTCGGCAAAGAGTACATCGGACTCAGTGGGGGTAACGAATGGATTCCGAGCAAACAGAATGTTCAACAGGCAGATACCCACGGACCAGATGTCGGCCTTGGCGGGGGAGTATCCTGTCGTGGTCGGCTCATATTGCTCGGGGGCCATGTAGCGGTCACTGCCAACACACGCCTCGTAACACCACGAGTCTTTCGTAGCGAGACCGAAGTCGCCTAGCTTCATGGAACCGTCCTGTGTCAGGAAGATATTCTCCGGCTTGATGTCACGGTGATACAAGCCATTGGCATGCATGAAGTCGACGGCACTAATTAGCTGCAGCATGAAATCGCGGACGTGCTCGGTCTCCAGTGGACCACGGTTAAGGCGGATGGCCTCGTATAAATCCCCATTGGCACAGTACTCCAAAACAAGATATGTATGAGTGTCGGTGTTGAACGTATGAATCAAGTTGACCAAATTCGGGTGGAACCCGAATCGTCGGTGACACTCGAGTTCTTCGAAGCCGGAATTCGTTGAGGCCTTGATGAGACGTTTGATAGCAACATCCTGACCGGTCTTGGTATCTGTAGCCAGGAATACCATTCCAAAAGACCCATGGTTGAGTGGGGCCACGGTTCGGAAACGACCATCCAAAAGTTGGCCTTCAACGAACTCTTCCTTCAAGCACTCCATGGTCGACATGTTGGCCTGATGATCCAAAAAAGGACGAATGCAGAGATGAGATGAAAAGGGGGAGCGGACTGATGTAATGCTCCAACAAAGAGATGAAGTGAAAACAGGTCTATGAACCGCTCAAAGAACACTTACGCTTGTGAAGAATGCGTCGAAGTGTGATAAACAAAAAGCAACCAGGCTAATGAATATTAAAAAACAAGGAGAAGAGGTATCAGGCTCGGGATCCGAAGGTAAATAGAGGGCGAGAAAAGCCGGGTGTCAGGAGGTTGAGATGAAAGGGAATCCTGACAGGAGATGTCATATAAAAAAAATGTACTGGTGAAGTTGATAGACAGATGAAAAGAGGAGAGAATGGAGGCGCAGAGGCGTAGTTGAACCCAGGGGGTTGTTGATGCTAAGGAAATTGGTAAAGACCGTTATGTGCTCATTTGTATGTCGTTTTTCGTTGGTTAACGGGAAGGGGTCCCAGGTGGACGACACGAATGTGTCAAGAAATGGACAAGTGGTTGGAAAGTCGGCCTGATACCGGATGAAGCGAAGAGAGTCGAGTTAAAGCGCTGCGTAATATCGTAACTGAAAAAGGTCAAAGATGTATAGGGAGAATCCTGTGAACACCGGGTTCAAGGTCGAGGCCGTGACTCAAGTTGAAGAAGATAAATAATTGAGATTAGTGAGTCATGAGGCCAGGTAGTAATGTTGGGGCAAATTGGTTGGGCGAATTGAGGGATCCGGTAGAGTACCCTTCTAATCCGAGTTGGAAAAGCAGAGATACTCTATGCCAGGTTGCCCCTGAGGTATGAAACTTCGGGAGTGCTCTCGGACCAGGCTCAACCGAAGAAACGTATGATTGACCACAACGCAGCGGACACCTTCGTGTGGATTGGAGTGACGAAGGCTGGAGGTATCGATAGCAAAATTGAATCCGACAGACCGGGATGAGGACACTTTTATCAAGTTGAAGAAAGTGAGTCACCCGAGCTCAGGGTGGACCCGGAAGACGGAGGAAAAGGGGTTTAGGACGGGAGAGGTCGAGAGTAGTACTCTGTCAAAGGTAGATCTGAATCCGGCCTTCGAGGCTTGAAGCTGTATAAGAGTACAATCGTCCGGGGTTGGCAATGTCTTGATATAGATGGCAAGCAGACACGGCAATCTTGGGAACCTTGGGAGCGTTGGAAGTAATAGGAAGGTGACGGAGAAGTGATGCGGGAGAGATGATTCGGACAGGTAGGAAAGGCGGAAGGAGAGATGGGGATCTAGGAGAGCGAAAAGAAGATGATCGGGAACGAGATGTTGATGGTATAAGGGGAGAGAGAGAAGGAGCCAGGGAGAGTTGAGAGGTGTTGTAAAGGCGTGAGGGGAATTGGAGAGGCCATGTGATTGGCTGTACGGTGTAATACGGTAAGATACCAGTCTCCCCTCGTGGACGGTCCATCCGTGCGATCTGCGTTACCCACCGACTTTGGCCGGCACCTGCAGGTCCTGGGGCCGTTTCCGTCTCCCGGGGAAACTGGTCACGTATTGAAATAATACCGGTATTGACAACGGGGGGTCCGTCTAGGCTCTCCAAGTTTCATGAACCTTCCAGGCATTCCTTATCCTTGGAAAGACGTCAAACGTCTACGTGATCGACTTCATTGTCGAATGTTGGAATCGGGGTCTACGATAACGCGATAACGTTTAAATTCCATTGTTGGTTGCCTCTATCACATCATCCAGCCCTATCTTTCAGATTTCAGACTTCCAACTCTCTGGCCTTCAGACTTTCGATCCTAAACTCTCGAGACTCGGGGTCGGCCACAAGCCAGTCACAATGACGGGCGACATCAGCAGGGGCAGCCCTTTGTCTTGGAGCTCTTGGAGTCTCGTCGGCCGAGGGCGGATCAAGGTGGCGCGCTACTCCCAAAGCGTATAATTGCGCAGCCAATTCTTGGCAGATCAGCCAATCAGAATACATGATCCGGCCACTATTTACAAGCTGCATGACGCGATAGAGTGGGATGGCGTGATCTCCTCTGATTGGACCACCCCGGATACCTACTGCCAGCTCTCTTCCAAGGCCGGTGCCTATGGGAAGGTACGAAGGTACCCTTCCGCAGGTACTCATGCACGGCGGGCCTGGTTTCGGAGTGGACCAGGACAAAGACCAGGGTTTGGCTTCTCGATTCTCCCAGTTACACCACTCGCTGCACTATTAACGTTATTCTTTGCCGCGCGGGATATTATGAGACAAGATTCGTCTGACCCATATTATTGACCCCCCCGATATGGTTGCGGGGTTCTACCAATACGCTATCTCTAACTATATCAGCGGGTAACCATATCGATGATCACCAGAGTTGAGGGAGTATGGAGTATGTTGGATCGGACCCAGTTATTGATGTGTCCGTCTCCAGTAGTAAATGGGGGGTTGGAGAACATCTCAACCCAAGAACTACTCCGTACAAAGTACAAGACACGTATGTTGTACTTCGTGTGGAGCGTGCTCCCAACTGTCATGATTCCCAACCACCTTTCAGACACCCACGCAGCCCTGTCAAGCGGTGAAGGGAATGCTTTCGCTGCCAGGTGGTCTGGCCTTGGATCAGGTTTGACCGCTTCCTGCGGCCTGCAAGGCCAAACCTTGCAGGTCTCGAGGTGATAGGTACGATGTACGGAATATACCTTTGGATTCAAAGCATGCTCAGAAGTACCAGTACGTGGACGCTTGAAACGATAGAGTTGTGTGGCTATGTGGCACGACTTCGGTTTCCGGCAACTCCTGTGCATCACGCGACGTCCCATCCATTTTGCGTCTCATCACCCCATTTGATTCATTCTCGGAGATCGCAACCCTCCCAATTGAATTCCTGGGCTGTGCATCGGATATGGACATAACCAGCTCGTTTCGGTACATTATCTACGAATGCATTGTACCTAGCATATTACATCGCTCCGATATAGTTGTACACAAGATACTACTTTGAATCCATTGCAGTGAGATCTGCAGGAAGTAAAGTGCACGGCTCAGTATCTGGTCCTGATCTCCCCCTCCATCACACATCAGCCATTGCCGTTGGGTCCGTGATTACATTCTCGTTCTCTGTTATGCAGTCTCTCGCCGAGTATAACATATACGTCAATAACGTCCGTACACGATCTGCTGCATCAGTACATATAAAACCCCCTCTAAGCATTCGTCATCTACGGAGTGTTGCATCAAAGGAAATCGATCAGCCTATGACAGTCGACCCCAACGATAAATTATATACAACCGCCCTATCAGCCCCTAGCGATGAATTGAAACGTGTCTCTTACACTTAATACTTGGGCGCCTGCATGGTTTTAGCCACGTACATGACTCCATATTGACTACCATGATACCGAGGGGGCTGGAGTTATCTTCCGAATGTGGTATTTTTGATATGAGATGTGATATGAGATACGGGTTAGTTACCTATCAGTTCGAAGGTTCTACAAGTTACGGAGTAGACTCCCGGCGCTGGGGGAAGTATCCTCCGATAGGGACGATAAGAGTCCCCAGACCCGAGGCAGAAGAGACAACCTTGGGCGTAAACAAATAAATAGGATATCTACGGTTTGAATGAATCATCATTATCAGAGACGACGGTATCACTACCATACCCCGCACGATCGTCATTCCATGATCATATCCAGGCGAGTTGAGAATTTTGAATCCGTCTCAGTCGGTATTTGAAGGGGTCATGATAGTCGTGCTATGGGAGGCCAATGATGGGTTGGTAAACAGTGTTGGACAACATACAGAATAGGATACATGCATACTTCTTAGCCAGTGTGTATTTGATCTAATGATGAGATCACTCTTATCATGAGAAATGACATGCCAAGCCAAAAGAGGGGGTCAGATAGCCGAATAGACTGGGAGCCACTTCCCCGGATTTTAGTCTCAGCTAGTTTTCCTCAATCGGGCTAACCTATATTATACCAAATATGTAGAACCCTGTGCATGCCGAGCTATTCCTTGACCTTCTATATACACGAGCTGAAGCCACCAGAACTTTAACATTCTAAATATTCAAGTCCGAGTGCGAGCTCAATGTGACTTGAGACTAGGATATCTTAAAGGACCCGGCACAGTGCATATGGCCTGTGCGACTACGGAGTACAGAGTTCTACATGTAAATCTCCAGGGCATCAACATGCATCAACATTCATCTGCATTGCACGATGTCCTTTGTACATCGTAGGGCGATCCCAGCCTCCTGTAGGTCTCTTTTTCTCCGTGTGCGACTGTGCGTTGCTGCAGGAAAGAAAGCAGAGATTGGAATTTTCAAGATCGATGCAAGGGTCCTTATTCCCTGAGGCTTTTTTTTTGGGGACGCATCATGTGAGAGAAGTTTCTTGCTATCTCAGTATGTTCATGCTTGACAGTTTGAGTTTCTTCGTACGTTGCCGAGTCAACACGGGCATGTTGTGTCCCCTCCATTTTCGCCTTACAGATCGAGTCTGTCGCCTTCTCTGCGGGGGGAATGTGTCGGCGAATTGGCTACTAGATGTGCAGTATATTGCATATTGGCTTTCTACGGCTCCGTTGTTGTAGTTCATCCACCCTACGTTGTTCCTTGTATGCTCTGTTCGGATGTCCCATGATAACATTATAGCTATCAGGATGTATATTCAATGCTAATATACCCCAAACCCTGATATCCATTAATACAGATTCGGTGTTTACTATTAATACGGTGGCAACATATAGTACAAAGTATAGGAGGTCCAAAACAAAACACCGTCCTCGGCCTCCTGACCCCATGCCACATTCCATAAGGGTCCTGCCAACGTCATTCCACCCTGACATCCCCCTTTCCGTTCCAGGTGGATCATTGTTACACTTGAGTTAATAAATCCCAAATACAGAGTGTAATAAAAAAGACCTCATAATTGAGTGACGTTGAGAGACCCATTATTATTTGAAACGAAAAATGAGTAATACAGTGGAGACCAGGCAGCGCCAGATGGACCTCTGAGGGCCATTTATTGCTTCTATTTAC